CCACTGCCAACAAAAAACAAAGAAAGATAGATAGATGAAAGAAAGAAAGAAAAAAGAAAGAAAGAAAGAAGGAAGGAAGGAAGGAAGGAGAAAGAAAGAGAGAAAAAAGAAAGGAAGAAAGAAAGAAAGAAAAGAAAGAAAGAAAGGAAAGAAAGAAGAGAAAGATAGAAAAAAAGAAGAGAAAGAGAAAAAAGAGAGAAAGAAATCTATAAACTTTGAACCCCATCAGAAGAAACTTGCATTTAAATTTAAGCACATTGAGCTGGCAACTTTCATAACCTCAACCAAAGGTGAAGATGCCAATCTCAGCAGGAAATACTTAGAACCACCCAATCCTGTACCTGGAATTTGTCTCACACCATAAAATGTCTCCCAACTGCCTTGTGTTTGAGGCAAGGGGTGTGCAAGGCACCCTGGGCCTGTCTACCAGGACTTGGCACTCACTACTACAGGTCCCAGCCCAAACACAGTGTAATCCTGTCCTGCAAGATAAAGCTTCTCCTGAGAGAGCTGTCAAATTCTTGACAGCAATAAGGGCTTCTAGGGGAAGCATTCTTTTGGCAGTCTCTCTTTTGAACTTGGTGCTTCTTAGTCTTATTCCACAAAGCTCGACCACTACCATAGAACAGGAGCCAAGGCAGACTCTGCACTTTTCATTATCAGAGTGAGGGAAGAAAATAGCTCCACTTGCTTCCCGCTTGCTTGTTCTAAAGAGTTTTTATTATTCCCATGATTATGAAACTTTGGGCAATCTTGATAAGTTTTCCCGTGTGCATGATCTTTGAAATCGGGTTGGTTTCATAAGCTGTTCATCTTCAAAAGATGTCTTGGACACAAATGGAAAAGGCAGGCTTTTTCTTTGACTATAATGGCAAAATAAACCTTGACATCAGAGAGAAAATGGACATAGAGTGCATGTGTTTTCTCATTATTCTCATGGTTATGGAATTTTTGGCCTTCTTCTAAAGAAGTTTTCCTGTGCACATGATCTTTAAAAAATCAGGCTGACTTTGCATTCTGCTTACTTTCAAAAGATGTTTTGGACACAAATGGAAAATGCCCGCCTTTTCTTGAAGCATAATAGCAAAAATCCTTGACATCACAGAGAAATGGAGACTGCGAATGTTCACACATGCAGATGACATTTTCATTGTGAAAGGGACCATTCAGAAAGATCCAAGAAGAGTAGTTTCAGGAACAGGCTATTAAAATCAAAATCAGTGTGAAGCCAACAAAAGAGACACAACCATAATCAAAAGGCATCCAAACAGGAGATAATAAAAGTAAGAAAACATAATCATGCGTTTCTACGCTATGTCTGCTTTTTGATCAAGTGTCTGCAGACTGACATATACAGACACATGCTGCCCCCTTTCAGACACCCACTTTGGAAAGCCATCATCTTACACTAATGGCTAAAGTGTTTTGAAATTTCTAGTATTCAAAGAAAATAAGCCTAAGTGTATACATGCAATTAAACATTACTGTTTTATTTTTATTAATGTATATTAATTGTACAAAGAAGTTTCACTGTAAGGTTTCTATACAGATATAGTGTGGTTTGATCAAATTCACCTCATTACTCTTTCTTATCCCCCACCCCTTCCAAAATAACTTTGATGGGTCTCATTGTTCTGCTTCACACATTCATGTAAAGTTCTTTGGACACCCCCACTTCATCCTTTTCCACCCCCCTCTTCCTCAAACAGTCCCCTCACTTTATACTCATGCCATATTCTTTTCTGACAGTACTGAAGTTAGAGCTCAGGGTCTTGTGCTTGGCTAGCTTGCATGGCTTGGTGGCACTCTACCCCTTGGAGCATGCCCTCCTCCTGATTTTTTAATAGTTATTTTGGAGAGAGAGTCTTGTTTACTTCTTTGCCTGAACTGTCTTCAAACATGGTCTTCTATATCTTAGCCTCCTGATTGGCCAGGATCACAGGTGTGAGCCACTGATGCCTGATCTTTTTTTTTTTTTTTCAAGTCTAGATTTCACATATGAGAGAAAACGTGATATTTGTCTTTCTGAGTCTGGATTATTTGCTCAACATGATGATATCCAGTTCTATTCATTTTTCCTGCAAACAATATAATTTAATTTGTATGACTGAAAAAACCCCTAATGTGTCATTATATATCTACTTTTCATATGTGCATATGTATATTATGTATGTATATATAATAGATAGATGCAGATCTATCTATGTTAAGTTGGCTTTCATTCTCTCAGATGCACACAGAGTGGAATAGCAGGATCATATGATTGTTTTAGCTTTAGTGTTTGAGAAACCTCTATACTGAGTTCCAGAGTGGCTGCACTAATTTACATTTCCATTAACAGGACTTTAGAGGTCCTCTGCTCCCCACCACCGCTATCCCTGCATTTCCCCAGCACTGGTTATTTATTCTCTTGATGACTGTCATACTGACTGGGGTGACATTAAGTCTTTAGCAATTCCTTCATGACTAAGAATGTTGGACATTTCTTCACATATTTATTGGCCATTAGTAAGTACTTTTTTTGAGAACTGTCTTTTCAATTCACTTGTTCGTTTATTAATGAAGTAATTCGTGGTTTTGGTGTTTAATTTTTTGGGGGGGTCCGGTTGTGGGGCCTGAACTCTGGGCCTGGGCGCTGTCCCTCAGCTCTTCAGCTCAAGGCTAATGCTCTACCACTTGAGCCACAGCACCACTTTCGGCTTTTTTCTTTTTGCTTATGTGGTGCTGAGGAATTGAACCCAGGGCCTCAGGCATGCAAGGCAAGCGCTCTACCACTGAGCCACCTTCCCAGGCCCTGGTGTTTAATTTTTAGAGGTCTTTACATATTCTGAATATTAACACTTTATCCAAGAATAGCAGGCAAGGATTTTCTCCCATTCTGTAGGTTTTCTCTTGACGTTGGCAATTGTTCCCTTCACTGTGTAGAAGTGTTTTAATTTGATACAATTTCATAGGTCATTTTCACTCTTACTTTCTGAGGTAATGAAGTTCTATTCAGAAAAGTTTTACTCATGACTGTTTCTCAGGGAGATTACAACCTGTTCTTCTAATACTTTCAGAGTATCCATTTGTACATTTAGATCTTTGGCCCATAAATATAATCATTTTAGCCACCAGTTTTTATCCAAAGTAAAATACACTTTCAATAAATAAATAAATAAAATTCATTCATGTAACCTTCAGCTTATTGCTGCATAAGAAACAAGTCCCAACACCAAAATGGAATACAACAGTACTTACATCCCACTCATGTCTTCATATATGACAGGTTGCTCTGCTGCAGGCAGTAGAGCTGCAAGTTTGGGCTGTGCTTCTGGTTGGGTGCAGAATCTCTGATGGCAGTGTAGATGTCCCCTTCCCAATGTCTTCCACACTTTCCTCTTCCAAAGCATGTCAGATGGTCAAACCCCACAGTGATAAATGCATCCCATACAGTTGAAGTAACACAAGCTGGACAATCATCCCATCTACTAATTCCTAAATTGTGATCATTCATCAATATAGGAAACATTTTTTATTTATGTGTATATAGACTGGAAACCTATCCACAGAGAATCCTGAAAAAATATCAAGTCGATGTTTTCTTCTTTCCTCTCATAAAAACAAATATTTTAAGGGAGAAGCAAAATTACCAGAATTCTGCAGTCTCCATGCTGGGCCTGACAAGCCAAAGATACATAAGTATCAAATATCTTGTGTGTGTGTGTGTGTGTGTGTGTGTGTGTGTGTGTGTGTGTGTCCCAGTTCATTCAGATAGGTAGGAACTCAGGTGCCAGCCAAATGGTCTTGCTCCCTTAACCACATGGGGTACAGGTATCCTTTTTTTTTTTTGGTCAGTCATGGGGCTTGAACTCGGCCTGGGCACTGTTCCTCAGCTCTTCAGCTCAAGGCTAGCACTCTACCACTTGAGCCACAGTACCACTTCCAGTTTTCTGGTGGTTTATTAGAGATAAGAGTTTCACGGACTTTCCTGCCTGAGCTGGCTTTGAACCATGATCCTCAGATCTCAGTTTCCTGAGTAGCTAAGATTGCAGGCGTGAGCCACCAGCGCAGGGCTACAGGTATCCATTTCTGATGTAGCTGCTTCTCTAGTAAAACTGCTTTGTAACAGACCAATTTTAACAGTTGTTGCAGCTGAGTTCTGGGTTTTGAAAAGCATTTCTTGAGACCTGTAGAGACTATTGGTAACAAAGTGACAGCTTCTAATCTTTAATTCTCTAGCTAAAGCCTTGTAACTGGGATATACACCTACTCATATCTGCCTCCGTCCCCTTCATAACTGCTTGTGGTGGAGCAGTTTCGTAACACAATGATCTTTGGAGCCATTAGAGTAGCCTAAGAACCAGATGGTGGAGTTTGAACTAGGTGTTTGTTGTTTGTTTTCCCCTTACATATTCGTTATGATTATTCTCGTTAAGTAGTTGTACGAAGGAATTGCCACTTGATGACGCTGGGTATGAATGCAGTATATCTTGATCAGTGTCAGCCCTTTCAACATCCCCCCCATCCCTTCCCTGCCCCCCCCTCTGCCCCTCACTCTCCTTAGTTGTGTAGGATATACTTTGCATTCTTGTCTCCATTTTCCCTCTCTTAGAGATAGATGAATTACCCGGGGTTTCTGCTGTTCGTGCCAGCTTTGTCTGGAGGCAACAGCCAGAAAAAGAAAACAAAATCAACTTCCAACCAATCAACCCACAGCCGAGTCAAGCACTCTCAAACCAGGTTCTAAGGCGAGTGCTGCACACTGTCTGAAGGGCGCTCTTCCTCCGTAGTGCCCTTGTGCGCGTCAAGTTCTTCGGATGCGCGGCACCTGCCAGCGTCCTCGCCGCCGCCGTCGTCCTCGGTTGGCACCCGGGGGATGGCGCGGCGGGGGGTTCGCGGCCCGGCCGCGCGGTGCCCTTTGGAGCTGGGGGAGGAGGAAGGGGGGCGGAGGGACGGGGGGGGGGAGCGGGGCGGGCCTGCGGTGAATTGCACCTGGCCAGGCGCCCTGTCCCCGGAGCTCTGCTGTCTGAGTCTGGACATGGAGCGGCCCGGGACGCCCGGCGAGGTGCACATGAGCCAGGCCATCCAGCCGGCGCACGCCAACGCCCGCGGCGAGCTGAGCGCGGGGCAGCTGCTCAAGTGGATCGACACCACCGCCTGCCTGGCGGGTAGGCGTGCGGCGGGCGGCGGCGCTGTGGGAAGCGCTGGGGGCAGGGGGGGGGGGGCGGAGAGGCGAGATGGTGGGGGAGGCTGGGGAAGATGGGGTGGGAGAGATCGGAATGACAGATGTGTCCCCCCCCCCGCCCCGAGTTGGAGATGCCCTGTGGCTAGCCAGTGGGGTTGTGGATTGTGGGGCGCAGGAGCGCGGGAGAAGGGAGGGAGGGCTTGCATTCCCAGAGCTTTAAGGCAGGTAGACTGTGATGGCTAAGGTCACGCACCCCACAATGACCCACACCAGTAGTTCGCTCACCTTTGGGTCTTAGGAACCCCACCCCACTTCCCAGGAAGTTAATGAGAACCCCAGAGAGATTTTGCTCACGTGGCCACTTCGTCTACCACAGTCAGAGTTGTAAGGATGTCATTCTTTGAAGATGAACCTATATGTTATATGTTCACATAGTTTTACTGAAAAAAATAAAAAGATTTCAACAGTAACCGAAGTGTAGGTAAAGGGCGGTATGTATATTTACACTTCTGTAAACTGTTTTATTGTTTGTTTTAGTAGCTTGCCCATTTCTCAGATTTCCTGTTGTATTCAGCTGCTAACACACCACTATATTCTTGGGAGAGAAAGGGAATCCAACTAGCTGAATAGTTTCCATATCTTCCTGCAAATCCGTATGGGAAAGCTCTCACCCTGTAGCCTGGCTCAAATTAGAGTAAAGAATTAAGGTCAAGAGGCCACAAGGGTGCAGATCTAATGCCATAGGATTGGTGTGCTTGGGGCTTAGAAGCAATAGCTGGGTCTTGGGCGTGGGAAAACACAGCAAAAAGGCAGCTGCCTGTGAGAGCCAGGAAGAAAGCTCCCCTCAGAGTCTAGATTGGCAGACTTGGACTTTACATCCTTCAAAACTGTGAGAAGTAACGTTCTATTGCTGAAGCCACTCAGTCTATGGTATTTCGTTATTGCCACTCAAACAGGCAAAGGCAACTCCTTAGAATTACTACAAAAATAGTTTTGACCCCAAGATCTCTTTCATATAACACTGAGAAATTGACTCTGTCTAGAGACAGAGGGTCTGCTTTTGAAAACAACAAGTTGTAATGCCGATGTTTTGCTAACTGAAAGTCTGGGTGGGTCAGTGCTTTTGTGAAATGGCTCACTTGTACCTGTGCTAATTTTCCCGCCTCTAGATCAGTAAAATCTCTCAAATAGATGCCCCACCTCCACCCCACTTCCACAGACCTTTTTTTTTTCCTTCTTCTCTTAACTCCCTGGAGTCTGTTTCCACACACAGGTCAGAGCAAACTTTTAATTCACAAACCATATCACACTGTCCCTGACAGAACATCTCACTATCTTCTCATCATCCATGGAGTTGAAACCTAAATCCTTCATCGTTTTTCCCAGATGTCAGCTGGCATGGGAAACTCACAATCTCTGAAGGGAAATATGAGATGAGCCTGAGTCCAGTTTAGGACTTTAGAAAGTGAAGTTAGTGGTAAATTCTAGGGTACTCTAACAGGGGACAGCATTGAAGTTCCCAAGTAAACATGCTAGAGGCTAAGCCACAGGCACGGCTTGTAGCACCTCCTATGCCCCAACCATCCTTGCCTTCTAATAGTTCCTACTGTGTCCAGCCCATCTCCAGACAGAGGTCTCAGGACCTTCACATATGCTCTTCTCTTTGTCTTTAGAACATATTGCATCTCAGCATTTCCCCAGAGAATTTTCTTTACTGGCCTTCCAGTGCAATGACCTTTCCAACTTCCTGCATACCACTTAGAACAACCTGTAACTATTCCATATTCTTATCTGTTCACCTCTGTGTTTTCTGCATGCTAAGCTAAGCTGCATGCCAAGCTCCACTGCCTACTGAGTGCAAAATAAAGCCTCCTGATCATCTGAATAGGTAGATGAATAGATGAACGGGTGGATGGAGGACATGAATGGGTGCATGGTTGGATGGATGGATGGAGCTACAACTTGGAATTACACTTCCAAGAGGAAGCCAGACTTTCATATGACATTTAGTAGACTTAGTAACTGTACATCTTGTATAAAAACGTGTGTTAAAATGAAATATTAGGCTCACACTTGCTATACCACCTACTCAAGAGGCTGAGGAAAGTGGGCAAGAAAGTGTGTGTGAGACTCATCTCCAATTAAGCACCAGAAAGCTTGAAGTGGAGCTCTGGCACAAAGTGGCAGAGGGCTAGCCTTGAAAATAAAAGCTCAGGGACCTGAGTTCTAGGCCCTGAATTCAAGCCCTAAGACCAACAATACATACATACATAAATATATACAAATATTCATACATAAATATTAGAGTTAGAAGAGGCATTAGACAGCATGAATTTAACTTTTCCTTATCTGAAAGACCACAAATTAAAGTTTAAATGATTATGGATCCCTGAATTCTCTGCAAGTGTTAATAGAGCTTCTAATTTTCTGCGTCTTAACTACCAGAGAAGTCCAGTTGGATATTTGAGGCCAGTTTGTTAGTTTCTGCTTGCTAATCTATTTGGTTTCTGTCTTAACATTTTAGCAAGACTCAAATTTAGTTATAATCACATAATAAGGGAAGCATGAATATGAAATTATGTAAGAAATTATGTAAGAAAAGAAACAGTGTAGAAATCATGGAAGCTGCTAATAGTGAGTGTCTTTCCAAGGGAACTGAATCTATGATGTGGCAATAGTAGTTCTTCAAGTTCATTTTCTGTCCTGTGATGACGAAGTAATTGCTCTCTCATGGTTATTGCAAAAGTTTCAGTGATCATGTTTTAAGAAAAGGTATCATAAATATATTCAGTGGACAATCAATTTCTCTGTACTTCAATTAATGGTAATGTAAAAAATAACTCTATAGGATTGGTTTGAGATAGAGTTGCTAGAATTGGTTTGGACATTTGGCTAATGCCCAGGGAGAATACTCTATGGAGGAAGAGGCATCAATGACATTGTGTAGCCACAAAGCAGCTGAATCTGAAGAATAATACAGATGCAGGTTTCCCCAGTATTGTCTCAAGCATAATTCTTATTTTCTAACACTTTTGATCACAGTGATGGCTCCCAAGGCATCGGTGTCTCCAGAAACTCACAAATTCCAAAATATCTTTATAATGTTTAAAGAAAAATTAAACATCACCACCATCACGTTGACATTAAACATCCTTTCAGCAGACCTTTATTCTTCCCTTCCTTCAAGGCACAAACCTGCAGCTATTACTGAATCATTCTTCATCCCCGTGTCCATTTCTTCCTTTGAATTGTCTCAAACCGACATTCTCTTCTCTGTGTTATATGTTAACTCACTCTCAGAAATAGAACTGATTCATATAATGGTACAAGTCAAAACTCTAGCAGTCTGCCTGGCTCATGTTTGTATAATATGAGCTACTTGAAGACTGACGTGGGGAGGATCAGAGTTCAAGGCCAGTCTGAACAAAACATTTTCAAGACTCTTCACCCCAATCTCAACCAACAGCTGGGCCCAATGATGCACATATGTCCTCCAGATATATGGAAGGTCTGGAATGATCACAGTTGAGGCCAGCCTTAGAAGAAAAGTTCATGAGACTCGATCTGAATGGAAGAAGCTGGGCACATTGTGGCATGCTCCTCATTCGAGCAGGATAGGAAGCAAAAATAGGAAGATTTCAGTCAAGGTGATGCCCAGGCAGGAAGGGAGAATATACCTAAAATTAGTCAGTGTAAAAAAGAATATGAGGTATGACCCAGTAGTAGAGTATCTTCCTAGAAAGCATGAGGTCTTGAATTCAAGCCCAATACTGCAAAAAAAGAAAAGAAAAAAGAAAGAAAGAAAAAGAAAAGAACAAGAAAAAAGAGAAAAAACAATCTAGGAGTCATTGTGTTTACCTGTCTACCTTGCTTCCTCTTCCATATATTGGATTCATAAACTCAGTCCTACCCATCAATATTATTTCCTGAAGTAAGATGACTCAGAAGTCATTTGAATGTAAACCCAGCTCCTTTGCTCCACCTCACCGTTACCATCTCCTTACAGCTCCTACAATTGTACCTTGTGAATTTCATTACTGGCTTTTTTAAAAAAAATTTATTTTTTATTGTGAAAATACTGTTCAGAGGGGATACAATTACATGGGCAAGATAATGAGTACATTTCTTATCAAGCATTGTAGCCTCCTCCTTTGTTTCCCCTTTCCACCCCTTCCCATCCTCCTCCCCCCCCCCCCGCCCCCGTCCCCCCACCCAATCCTCCCCGCTACTCCCCCCCTCTTCCCACACCAAAGTTGTAAAGTTCGTTTTTCGACATAACAACTTGTACATCTCATTGTTGCAATGGGTCCACTTGTATCCCTCTTTAAAAGATTTGTTTTTCCCCTTGCCTTCCACAAATTATATCGCCATCAAATACAGTGAAAGCAGAGGTTATACTGTGGGGGAGGGACATACAAAACAACAAAGAAATCATCTTATAAATGTGTTAGAAACAATCGCATGAAAGAAAAAAAAACATTTGAATATATATCTTAGGGTTCATTTCCCTAACATCACCTTATCTGACCTTTTCTGCTTGACTCAGACATATACTAGATATTGCAAATAAGGGAAACTATGGGACCTATGTTTCTTTGGGCCTGGCTTACTTCCCTTAATATAATTTTTTTCCAAGTCTTTCCATTTCCTAACAAATGGGGAATGTCATTCTTTCTGATGGAGGCATAGAATTCCATTGTGTATATATACCACATTTTCTTGATCCATTCATCTACTGAGGGGCATCTGGGTTGGTTCCATATCTTAGCTATAGTAAATAGTGCTGCAATAAACATAGTCGTGCTGGTAGCTTTAGTGTGGTCTTATTTGTAAACATTTGGGTAAATGCCCAAAAGTGGGATTGCTGGGTCATAGGGGAGCTCTATGTGGAGTCTTTTGAGGAACCTCCATACTACTTTCCAAAGTGGTTGAACAAGTTTACACTCCCACCAACAATGCAGTAAGGTTCCCTTCTGTCCACATCCCCTCCAGCATCTGTTGTTTTTAGAGTTCTTGATTTTAGCCATTCTAACTGGAGTGAGGTGGTATCTCAATGTCGTTTCATTACTGGCTTTTAAACTGGTCTTCTCAATTCATTCTTGTCTCCCACACTGCCATCTACAGTGCCATTTGAAGATGCTCACTGACTGTGTCACATGTTTTGTTCATCTTTTTCCATTGTTTTCTGTACCAAAATGTTAAAGTGTGCTTCCTCCAGTCTGGTAAAGTACTTCATCAGAATAAAATATCCCATGGATACAAATTATTAACTCTGGACAAAATATTAAATAAAGATGATTTAATGCAACGTGTAAGTGAACAAAATTTGGCTTGGAAGATGTAAAAGTTAATGCTTTGAGGAAGTACTGGCTGATTTTTTTTCTTGGGTTTTATTTCTATTTATCTTTGTGAGATTCATGTGTGTTTTGTTGTCTTTGTTTAGTGACTTGTAAGCACAAAGGAAAACTCAAATTTCTAGTGAGAAACACATAGCTTTGCTATTTTGCAGAACTAATGAGCAGAATTTGAGAAAAATGTTTGAATATAAAAAAGAAAAGTCTAGAAAAGGGAGCTAGACCGGCAGAACCATAAAATCTATGATCCACGATCTTTGACCAGATCTATGGTAAAATTTAAATAATACATGCATAAGACAGTCTCCAAACCTCTCAACTAAGGTGAAAACATCTGAAAAGAATTAGGCCCATCTCTAGGGTGATTATTACTTTGGATGTAGTCAAGATAATTACCTGCTTAGAAAAAAGCAACATGTCAAATCCTATATTTTCTGCAAAGTGTAAATCAAATCACAGTGACGAGAATACAATCCAAAATTACTTGACATGCCAAGAAACAAGGAAGGATGGCTTATTCTTAAAAGACAGCCATTTCTGACTAATCCTAGTGGACTTTGAGACTGACTTTCAAGGATTTTAAGTAGCGATTATGCGCAAAGATATAATAGAAAATATGATCATAGGGAAAGAAAAGGTAGTAAACCTCAGAAGATAATCAGAAAGTACTTTTAAGAGAACCAATTGAGAACTCAATAACTGAAAAATTGAATATCTGGAAATTTAAAATGCATTGTATAGGCACAATTGTGGAATGAAGATGGTGGAGAAAAGAACAGGTATGAGGAGAAATCAGTAGCAATTATCTAGTTTTAAAGACAGAAAAAAAATTAACAAACAGAGTAGGCTAATGATTTGGCTCAAAGATAAAGTGCTTGCCTAGTGTAAGGCTTGGGTTCAGTCTACAAGAAGGAAAGGAAAGTAGACTTTAAGTATCATTCAGACATTTGTGGGAAAATAACTAAAATAAAACAATACTTTTGCATCCATTGAGAAAACAAAAAGGGAAAGAGCTAACCTACATTTGGAAAAATATGGTGAAAGATATGTAACTATAGATATATGTAACTATAGAATTTAAGACCATAAAGTACTAAGCAAAAGCTGTACAAAAATCTCCTCACTTAGGCATTATTGTAATCAAACTGTGGTGAAGAGAAAATTGAAAGCAGCCAGAGAAAAACAGATTACTCTGTGTGGGAGAACAGTAACCAAAATGAATACTGACCACATTAGAAACAGGGTGTAACAGAAGACAGTAGATGATATCTTTAATAATAATGCTTCTAAGACTGTCAGCCAAGAGCTTCATAACCTCATGCATGTTTTGTTTTGGTTTTGTTCATTTTGAGGCAAGGATTCCTTACAAAGGCCATGTCAGCTTCAAAATTATAATCCTCCAGCTTCTGCCTTCCCATTGTTTGGGTTATAGGTGTACACTACCACACTCAATTTTCTCCCTCCTCCTCCTCTTCATGCTCTTCCTGCTCCTCCCGCATCCCTCCATGCATTTTATTTTTTTTTTAAATTTTTTGGGTCTGGTCGTGGGGTCTGAACTCTGGGCCTGGGCGCTGTCCCTCAGTTCTTCAGCTCAAGGCTAGCGCTCTACCACTTGAACCACAGCGCCACTTCCAGCTTTTTTCTTTTTGCTTATGTGGTGATGGGGAATTGAACCCAGGGCCTCATGCATGCAAGGCAAGCTCTCTACCACTGAGCCACCTTCCCAGCCCCACCTCCATGCATTTTAATACCAGAGGCCTTCATGGGACCTGGTCACTGATCTCTGCTGAGCATGATCTCTTCACTGTCCCTCTGTGTCTACTCACTCAAACTCACCCCTTGGATCTCAGCCCAAGTTATTTCTCCACAGAAAGCTTTTCCTAACTTCCAAGTTTGGCAAGTTCCTTAGTTATAGGTCCTCATAAAACCCATGTTTTCTTCAGAGCACTGAACTTACTTTGTAATTATACATCCATTAAAGTAATCTTTAGTTCTTCAACTGGTCTCCATGAACAGAGGGATTATGGTTGATTTCTATTTTCTAGCATCTTATAGAGTTGCTAGCACAACATAGATGTTCCATCAATATTAGTTAAAGAAATGAATGACAGTTTTCACTATTTTTATCAGTCATCCCACTCCTGAGTTAAAATTACTCACTCAATACACTTCTAAGTTCCTCCAGGAAATAAGTAACAGCTCTAGGTTACATTTTGAGCCACGGTGCCACTTCTGGTTTTCTGGTGGTTAATTGGAGATAAGAATCTTGCAAATAAGAGAAACCATGGGACCTATGTTTCTTTGGACCTGGCTTACTTCCCTTAATATAATTTTTTTCCAAGTCTTTCCATTTCCTAACAAATGGGGCAATGTCATTCTTTCTGATGGAGGCATAGAATTCCATTGTGTATACATACCACATATATACACAATGGGGCATCTGGGTTGGTTCCATATCTTAGCTATAGTAAATAATGCTGCAATAAACATAGTCGTGCTGGTAGCTTTACTGTGGTCTTGTTTGTAAACATTTGGGTAAATGCCCAAAAGTGGGATTGCTGGGTCATAGGGGAGCTCTATGTGGAGTCTTTTGAGGATCCTCCATACTACTTTCCAAAGTGGTTGAACAAATTTACACTCCCACCAACAATGCAGTAAGGTTCCCTTCTGTCCACATCCCCTCCAGCATCTGTTGTTTTTAGAGTTCTTGATTTTTGCCATTCTAACTGGGGTGAGGTGGTATCTCAATGTTGTTTTGATTTGCATTTCTTTTATGGCTAGGGAGGTTGTGCCTGGGCTGCCTTTGAACCAAGAACCTCAGTTATCAGCCTCTTGAGTAGCTAGAATTACAGGAATGAGCCACCAGCACCTGACTTAAATAATTTAAAATTGGGTAACCACACTGGCATACACAGTAATACTGTATTAATAAGAATAGTTTAACAATATGGACATCCTGTTCACTCGTGTTAAGCAACAGGAACGGATATTTTATTAAGTACTCTTTAGTTAATGATTTAAAGAATCTATTTGAAAAGGTTCAGTTGTTGTCTTTTAGTGCCTCAGTTCAAGCTCTAAAAGGACGTAAACTAAGGCCAGATCTTTAACTGAGTAGATTGGTGAAAAGATGGGCTTAATTCAGTTCAGTGTCTAGAAATCAGCCAGAATTTGACAAATGGCTTGACAACGTGAATTAAATTGAGCTCACCTTGAGCATTTATAGTCTTCTACCTCCATTTCTTTCCTTTTCACTGAACTTTATAGTTGGAAAACCCATCCTTCTTGCCCCATTGCTCTCACACACAGTTTGCTATATTTAGTTCCCTGGCAACTCTGTTCTTCTCATGTGTGTGTTTGGAAGAACGCTTATTTACAACTAGCAAAATTAGAACTTCAACTTTTCTGCATAATTTCATCAGGGGAAAGGATGTATTTAAAAAATTTCCCCTTTATAATGTTTTCTTGACTTTTCTTACTTGGGACTATTGACTAAATCCTTGCTGTGTGCCAATTTGTCTTTCTCTGATACCCAGAGAACTGTTTTCTGATTTGGCAGGCGATCTTAAGGTCTCCCATACTGCTCAGTGCTTACAATGGTTAAGTGATTTAAACATATTCAGGTATTAGCGATATCAGACAGTGGATGAAGCTTTGGCACTTTATTTATAAAACAACAGGAGGGTAATACTTGACAGAATATTTAAAGTCTGCACCAACTTGTTAAAATGGCTATTCAGATTTTCTTAATATTGGTATTAAAATTCCAATAAAATATTGTGTAAATTAAAATTTACTTAAAGCAACTAATTACCATGCTATAAGAAACAGCAACTAATTACCATGCTATAAGAAATAGAGCAAAGGAACTCATATAGATGTGGATCATCCAGAGAAAGCAAGTATAGCAGTGCTATAATGAATGAGAGGATGGGTAACTAAAACAAATCTACTTGAACATTATTCTGTTTTCTTTATGATAAAATAAACTTTTAAAGGTTAACTATGAGCACAGTATATATCACATATAATTTATCATATATATAGTATATAATATATATATATATATATATGTATTTTTAAACCAATTTTGAAGCTGAAAAGCATGCTGGAGTTTCCTGTGTCACTGCCTCTGTGGATGACATTCAGTTTGAGGAAACAGCTAGGTAAGTCGTTTTACTCTATCATTCCTTTCTCATGGTTTTTGTCCACTCGTTTGCAATGTCGATTTTGTGACACCTTAATCATTGGGAGTCAGTGATCTTGTTTGATATAAAGTGTGTGACATTTGACCCAATCCAAATTTGTCAGAAAAATAATTAAAGAGCCTACTTTTAGTCAGTATAATAAGTGTAAAGTCATAGTTTTAACGGTTTTGTTGAGAAGAAACTCTTTGCTTAAATACATTATGATTTGAGACATAGAAAGCTTTTTAATGAAAAGTATCTCTGCAATGGTGAATTCCATCATTAGGTTGATGGGTAAACACAAATGCACCTGAGCGGAGATAGTAACTTGTGAAAAACATTTTCAGTGTGAGAGCGCTTATGTGCTTTACTACTCATAGTGTAGAAAAATTCAATATAAATAAAATTTCAAGTATATATAAAAGAAGAGAGAATGGTATGGTGTGTCCCAGGGACTCATCTCCCAGCTACAACAATCAAATCAGGCAACTCTCGTTTACACGTTGGTATCCCAAAGGCTTGGAGTCAGCTACCTTGTCTTGTTCATCACTGAAGCTTATACTTAGCTCATTGTCAGGGCTAGGTGGAGCTCAGTGCATGGTTGTCAAATGTATAAGTTAGAAAAATACTGATTCGTTTAGAAAGTCTGCATATAAAAAAAGAGTAAAAAAATCTTAAAACAGAATGGGTTTGAGGGAAAGTATTGTTTGCTTGTTTGTTTGTTTGTTTTAAAGGAGAAGCCCTAACCATTTTCATAGACTGAAAGAGCCAGATAAGGGTAGAGATTTATAGTCAAATGAGAAAAGAATTGACAGAGCAGGGCTGATAGCGGAGAGAGACAGGGTAGTGAGTGGTGGGAATGGATGGAGCCTTTGTAAAGAAAGAGATAGGGACTATTAAGAGATTGAAACAGAAGAACAAAGAAGACAGTGAGAAAGAAGCTCAGCTTTGACGTTAAAGGAGAAAATTCAAGAGTGCTAGCTCTTGGTTCTTTATAAGGTGAAGGGATCAGAAGTGACTTGGGCCCTGAACTCAGAACTTTGGGGAAAACTTTAAGTAGAATTATCTGTTGCAGACTTTGGGTGTCTCTGTATGCTATCGTTGCAAAGGCCCTTTTCTTTCTAAATGGAGTCAATGGACATCCCAAGGGTGGTTTATAATGATTAGCACCTGTCTTTAAGTTCTATGTTTTGGTATCATTATACTGAGTTTTCCATATAGAAACTTCATACCCCATGCTAAAGTGGAACTGTTTACGGTGCATGTCTTCAAGCACATCTTTAAATCTGGAATTAAATGTGTTAGGGTTATTGAGGTCTTTTTTTGGCTTTTGTTTTACAAGGGTTGGACAAGTTATAACCATCAAAGCGAAAGTGACTAGAGCATTCAGCACAAGCATGGAGGTAAGCAGCAGCCTTTTCTTCCTTCTTCCTGCCAGTCCATACTTACAACAGCGGGCAGAGAAGAAGTCCTAGAATAGTATTTGCAAGTAACAGGCTTCTAAATTTCATAAGACCTGTAAGTCTGTAATCAGACTCACGGGTATTCTCATTTAAGCCTGATACTCAAATTCCATGAATGCAGTACACTACTTTTATATAGAGGGACGCACGGGAAGCAAATGTGGGAGAGGGGTACTGTACTCTCTTGGTTCTAGGCAAAATAGGAATTTTCTTTCTCTGACTGTTCTAGTTATTGTTCAAACTCTGCTTCTATATCTCCCTCCCTCTGCCACCTATTGAAATTTTCCCCACGATTAATTGCTTTATGAAAGGCAGTCAGTCCCTCTTCTAAGTTGGGGATGTTTTAGTCTTCCTTCTCAGTGGGAGTCTTCTGTGGATTCTATGATGTATTGTGTATTCCATGGGGTCTGGTGGGAGAGAGCTCAAAAGACTGCCAGTTTTGAAATTGTTCACATCACAGCTTTCCAGTAGCTGTTCATTAAAAGATGTTGTAAGCATGTCAAAATGACCCCCCCCTTTTTTTTTTACGAGTTGATATTAATAAAATAATGGCAAGGGGCGGATCTCTTGTGGTCTGGCTTTGTGACCTTTCACCCTATGCATGTTAAAACTGGTATCTACATGAAGACTCAAAGAAACCCAAAAGCATACTTCTGGAATTCTATCTCTATCTCTCCTCTCCGGTAGCCTGCACCTTGGGTTCATCTGCTTAGATCTGATTTCTGGCTCTGCCACTCAGTAAATAAGTTTTTCCTTCCCTGACCAGCATCTTATAGGAGTTTCCTTCATGCTGGAAATCTGGGACCTGTGGTATTCTCGTGTGGTTTCCTGGTCCCCAGTATCACAGGCCTGGGCCAATGTTTCCTATATGTGAAAATAGTGGCTTCTTACCTTTTGGTTTTCCAGTTGTTTTCATGGAATGTAATTCTAATCTTTCCTACTCTCTCATAACACAGTGAATTTACTCCCCACCGCCCCCGCCCACATATGTGTCTCAGAGACATTTGCATACCACAAATAACTCTGTCAATTGTTCTAACAGGAGACAATATTCAAAACTTTTTAAAAAAAACTCTTTGAAACTGTTGCTACATAACTAACTGTTGTTAGATATTTTATATTTCACTTGCCAATTTTTCTGAAGATGGAAACTATATGGGTAAGATTTGGTTGAGGGCTTGAGATAATTAGCTGAAGTTTGGTCAATCAACATCTAGTTAGAATCTACCATGCAAGTGTGAATTTGCATTTTCAAGATAAATGACTTAAAGTGACTCATAGATTTTCATACATGCTGTACCTGGTGAAGAAGTAGAAATTGATATTCTTTCCCATTGATTACACGGTGCTGAACTAAGATTCCTGAGGTTGCCTGTTGTTCCAGAAAGGTACAATGCCTTATCTGCCTGAGACATGCAGAAACTACTAATTAGACATACTCTAAAGATAAGCTCCTGAGTTTACCCATAATTCAAACCTGAGGACCAGCTTAGGGCTTTTCTCATTTCTCATTGCAGTATTTCAGCTGCCTTCTTACTTTCTCAAAAACAAAAAAAGGAAACTAAGCTGACATGACATGAGATAATTCTGCCTATGCAATGTTAGTTCTAAAATGCAGAGACAAAAGGTTAAACATGGTTATGGTTCAGAAAAGTTATTTGTCCAGTTCTATAGAACATCATTGGAAGAGCAGTGTTGTTTTAAAATCATTTAAATTGCTGATCTCATTTTAAAACTTGAAAGACAAGATCCGGGAAATGCATAACTGAATTCTAGATGCTGCAATCGAATGTGCTATCTGGATGATGGACAGTTTGTTTGTTTTTCTTTTCTTTCAGATCAGTATCAGGGTCATAGTACAGGACATACTCACTGGCATTGAGAAAGTTATTAGTGTGGCTTTCTCGACATTTGTAGCCAAACCAGTTGGAGAAGAAAAGGTAAGTTTTCTATGTGAAGAAATATCTCTTGTAAGAAAAGTACATAGTCACAGTGACATCAGAAATAATTCTTATCATGAGATTCACTTTCTCAAGATTTGCTATTCACAAACACTTTCTATACAGCTATCATTCCAACATCATAGGATTGAGTAGTAAGGTCCTTTGAGAAGAGGACTTTCAAGAACAGAATATGTACACAATGTATGGAAAAGGAACTCTTTTGTGTTTTACATGATCTGAAGGTCATAACAGTGTCTCAAAAATAGAGCTTACTGCTTTAGTGCTTTTGTGATTATATAATTGAAACTTGAATTGAGGTACATTGAGCTGAGAAATTTAGCAAGCAGTTATGTATTATGATGCAGTCATTTTTTTTTATCCCTGAAGGAAAAACAGCAAAGTTGCTGAGTTATTGAAGTTTAGAAATAAGCTTGATGCCAAGAACTACTGGTTTACCCCTTTAATCCTTGCCATTCAGGAAGCTGAGAGGTGAAAATAAAGGCTGACAGCCAGCTCAGACAACAAACTCTGTGAGGCTCTTATCCAATTAACGAACGAAAAGCTAGAAAGCAACCTTAAGTGGTAGAGCATCAGTGTTGAATAACAAGCTAAGGGACAGTGCCCAGGTACAAAGTTCAAGTCCTAGTACCAAATACACACACACACACACACACACACACACACACACACACGCATGCATGCACACACATATACACAAAGCTCCAAGGCATCTGGGGTAAAGTACTATTAAATAAAACCCTTGACCTGATGTAGTGCCTGACCACTTGCTTGGTAATAGGCTGCATCTGCTCATCTTAGGCTGCCTAAGATTGCATCTCTACCAGTTCTCTGTAGTGTTAGAGGTTTTGTGATTGGGATCCCATAAATGGAAGACCATAGGCTAAGCATCTTAAAATATAACAATTCAATTTGATGAATTCTAAGATTCACTCCAGGAGTGAGCCCATCAATTTCTTTTAGCCCCACTTGGAAGTGATAGATGCTCAATCTACCCTTGAGATTATTCCTCCTTAGACCAAATCTAACTTATTCCTAGGACATAGCAATGCTTGCCCTGTTCCCAACAGAACCACACTTACCAACAGCTCTACACTTAGGTCAGGCAGGATTTTATACCCTGGAATCTTTCTCCCACTCTATGTCCCAAATTAAAGATGCCATAAAGCAAACTTGTATTGCCCGACTGATGCTTTTCAAAATGGAAGTTCATATCAGTTAATTATATTATCTAAAATGCAGCTTTCTGGGACAGAACTTGGGCCTGTAGAATTATAACTGCTAGTGTGCCAAAGAACTTGAAGTCTATATTTTGTCAGAGCATCCCAGAGATCCTATGCTTATGAAAATCTAAAGCATTCAGTCATGGAGGGTGAATAACATCTAAATACCCTGCATTTGTGAATGAAGGTGGCATAAGGAAATCACTGAGAACTTTTGAATAATAGGATAGAAGGACAAGGAAAGAAAACAGTAGAAGGCATTAAGGTGACAAGTAAAATATGTACATGTGTGAAATATCACCTTTGTACAATTAATATATGCTTAAAAGGATGACAGGAATATAAAATACGTTCTGTTGGGTACATAGAGGATCACAGTGGGAAAGAGGAGGAAGAATGGAGAGGGAGAAGGAAGGTAGATTTGATTTAAGTACTTCATAGTTGTGTAGGAACACATGTAGGAACAGAACAATAAAACCTTCTGAAGCTGTTTTAAGAAGGAGGAGGAATGAGGGAAAGTGAATCCAATCAGGATATATTGTGTGCATGTATATCACAATGAAACCTCTTTGTACAACTAACATATGCTACTCAAAAGAGATATGCCTCTCCAACCTATCTGTTCTGCTATAATCTCTTAAAATCCTTAAACTCCAGAATGAGAGAATTATGAGAGAGAATGCAGAGTTCCCATATCTGAGAGCAGTATACATAAACATCCAGGACACATAGACACATACTAGACATGCATACACAAGTATACATGGACAACCCCTTCCTTTCATGGAGGACAAATAGCCATTGTTTTCCCCTCCAGCTGAGACTTCTCATTCTGAATTTGAGAACACGTGGAATAAGCATACAGTTGTGACATCTCAGTTATGCTTCTCCCGAGACTGAAGAACTGGCCCTGAGAGCTTTGCTGGGAAATCAGCTACCTTTTGGTAGCTGTAAGTGGCCATTCAGATAACCTGAATCTTAAAGCTCCTTTTCCTAGACGAACTCATTTTCCAGTTAGGAACCATCTGGCTCAAAAGTACCACATCATTTAGAGTGACATGAAAAGGCTGTGATTTGGGTTGAACCAAGAGGACTGCCTGCATTGTGTCCAAATCCCAGGGCAAAATGGGCAATGCCTAAAGAGACTTAGTACAACAGCTACACTGGGAGATCATTGCAAGGCTGCACAGCGTAAGGGTTTCTGAAAGGAGACCACCACGCAGTTCAGGCAGAAGAGAGTTTATTGGGGATACCAAACTGCCAGCTTGCACTCGGAAGTAGGGTGTAGGATGTAGGGTGTAGTGAACTGTAGCTCCACTGATGGTGGAGAGAGATATAGGGAAAGGCCATGAAGAGGTGTGGCCTCAGGGGATGCAGAAGTGACCTCAGATTTTGAGGTCCTTTTGCTGACTCACAGTCAGGTGATTGACAGGTGATTAACAGGTACAGATGGTTACTGTAAAAGTTCTGGGCAAGTGATTTCCAGTAAGACTACATGCTGTCTGGGCAGACCTGACAGAGCACACTGGACTCTGAATGTCAAGCTTACTGAAGTTAGAGGAGATAGGATGGGATAAAAAGGCATAGCCCTTCAGAGAGGCTCAACTTCCAGGTGTCATTTGCTCTCAAGATCCTTTTCAGTCACATGTAGTGTTCTTAGTCTGTGAATTAAGTATTAACAAAATATATGCAACATATCTTGATTTCAGGGGTATAAAAAGTATAAGTTTCCTAAGCAGTTTTTATATTTTGCTGGTCACAGAACTAAGATGAGATTACATAAACAGCTGACCCAGAGTAGATCATCAGTCTGCATTCTCACCAAAGAAGGCAAAGCAGTTCAGGAGAACTCTGGACTTTAAGCTTCATATTATGAATCACTGGTTTATTTCATCTTTACCTGGGCCAAGGGTCAGATTAGACTTGAGGTGTTCTGGACATAAGCCAGCAGGCAACCTGCCCTTTCATACACTTGATGGGCACATGGGTGTCTGGGGAAGAACTTCAGCCCTTGGTGCTGTGTCATCATATTCCTAGGTTTCTAGAGGTCAATCAAAGCTTCACTCTGATGTATTGATTTCTCAGTTTGCTTGTTAGATGTTTTTCTGTGATGAAATGTCCAAATTTGGAAAACCTCTTGGTACAAAGCAGTTTTCTCTAGAACATCTGTATTCCATCTCTTTGAAGTCTTAGTTTTTCCGAAGAAGTGTGACATCACAGTCCTCTCCTCATTCATCAGTTTCATAGTTTATAAAAACTCAAGTTTTGTAGTTCTGTTGACAAATTATAAAATCAACAAAAATTATTTCCAAAGCACCTACCTTATTATAAGAAGAAATAATTAAGCCTATGCTGGCTTTAAAATTTTTAAACTAAGAAAAAAATATCCAGAATTCACTTAATGAAAATACCCATAAATACGATTTCCTTGAGTTACAGAATCATATAGCACATCATTTGTTTCTGCAGAATTTATATTGTGCATTTGTAACATAACAAGGTGATGAAAGATAAATGTTTTCCTTTCTCTAGATTCATTTGAAACCAGTCATACTTCTAAGTGAGCAAGATCGGGAAGAACACAATCTGGCTTCAGAGAGACGGAAAGTTCGACTGCAGCATGAAGACACCTTTAACAACTTAATGAAGGAAAGTAGCAAGTTTGAAGGTCAGTAAATCTACTTATGTAGATTATGCCCTCGCCATGTAAAGTTCCTTTCTTACAGGATATCTATTTGCCCTTTGCAGTATGATGGTATGTATCTTTTCCAACAAACCTGGGAGCCGGAGAAGGCGGGGGGGGGGGGGGGGAAGGGAGGGCTAACTGCTCAGAATTTAATTGGCGATACCTGAGACCTCTTGAGTTGAAGGACCACTCACCTCCACACACCTCACCAGAAGAGAGATTGGAAATAAAGGACTAGGCAGTTAGATGTTATCAGTCAATGTTCAGTAAGGATGGAAGGGTGAAAGGATGATGGTCATGCCGTACACAGACACAGCTTGTCTCCATTCACTAAGCACACCTTCATCCATGAGATCTCATGAATTCTGCACATTCGCACCAGAAGAAACTGCAACTGCAAGCAGGGAAGACACCTACAGAAGGTCCACATTGCTTTGGCGCCAATGGAGGGCATCAAAGAAGAGAAAGAAAATATGCAAATATGCAAAGGGAGAGGAAGGCAGAACCTGGAATGGCAGAAGTATGGAGGCTTATTCTGTCAGCTTGAGTCAGCCTTACAGAAGGTCTCTAGGTGAAAGAGAACTTCTGAAAGGCTGCTGCTTTGAGAAACTAGAGGTACTGAAGCTGAAGGGGCCCTTAGGCCTGGGGGTATTATTTTCCAAAATAGGACAGCATGTGTGATAAGATCATTATTGAAGGAGATGGTTGGTTTTGAGAGAAAGACATAATTCGTGTCAAACCTGTCCCCAACACCTGAACACTGTTATTATTTACTTGCCTCTCACAGGGCAATATCCATTACCAAGGTATGTTCAAGGGAGTTAAAACTTCATCATGAAATTATGATGCTAAGAAAAGAGAGTCTCCTTTTGTAAAGATGGTTTCTGTGGCAAGATATAATGAAACAACTGAACCATAGAAACATCCCTACGGCAGACCAGACAAACCATTAATAAGAAACAAAACAAAAAGAAAGTGACCAAATATACTCTGTTATACTCCAAATATACTCTGTTATCTTCTCCCTGCTAAAAAACCCCAGGAAGAAATACAATGACAAACTCCTTATTCCTGGCTTAATTCTTTCTTTGTTTAATAAGTAGATAGCTAAGGCTATCTCAGGAAAACTCAAGCATTTAACATGGTTATTAGTATGTGTCGGTATCCTGGCTACATTGGCCTAACTTTCTTCATATTTGTGTCTTAAAAAATATCCTTCTGTCCTCAGTTAAATCACACTACTTGATGAATAAAAACTGTCTCCAGGGTTGGGAACAGGGAAGCCATTGGTGACTCTGGCTGGAGGGGGATAGGGGAAGCGTGAATGCATTGTCTAAGGCATGGGGAGGGGACATCTGGGTGACCCTGAATGAACTAGTAGAGGGATGGGATAAAGGGACAAGAGCAGCTCATTGTAAACACGATGCCATGCCGTAGTCATAGCCAGACTCAACTCTCTTAGCACTAGCTTGAGAGTCTGACACAGTCGTACATAGAGCAAATGCAGCCACCAGTTTCTCAGCCTGAGTCCTGTGCCATAAATGTAAACGGGGAGCAGTACGGTGATTGTCGCTGTTCATAGAGCACTTGGACCATTTCTGTGTCTGTTCTTGAGGGAAACTGGGGTATTGACTTGGATTTAAAGCCTCATTCAAACCAGCAAGAGGTACCCAACAGGAGTGGTCGCATTTTGACAGGAGCTCACTGAGTTCTGCCAGGGTGTTTCTTCTCAAGCTATCGGAGGTGGCACCTGCTTCCTGCCTGGACTCTAGATTCAGCCCCATGGGGAAAACAGATCTTCAGTGAGTCTCTTCACCCCTAAGCTTTGCACTCCGGGAACCATGGCTTTTGGCACTGGATTATTGATTGCAAATATCAGATCACTAAAACTGTGCCTAATAAGTGGCTCATCTACTTTCCTCTGTCAGTCAGAGATGGCCGACCAGCATGGAGTTGCTCATTTTTTTTACCCCAGTACTTGCTGTCTATAAACATGACTTTTGTTTTTCTGAGCTCATGGAGGCAAAGGTTAAAAATTAGGTCATGAAATGGAAATGATAAAAACCTACATAAATCTAACAGGTTCATATCAAGATGAAATAAGTTAATGTAGAAAGATTGATGAGAACAGTGCTGGGCATACACAAAACTGTTATTTCAAGAAGGAATTGGAGATGATCATTAAAGGCTACTTTGAAGGAACCTGAAGAATAGCTAAAGCCCTCAAGTTCACGGAGCATTGTTTTTCAGGATAGAAAAATTTGGTCATGGTCCCCAGCGATGAAGATGATTGGTAAAAATCATTACTAAGGGAAACGTTGGGTATAAGAGAAAGGTAATCTACATCAAATCTGTACTTCCAATATCAAAATATTGTGATTTGCCCTAGCAAGCATTTTTGGTGACTTCTGCTGCTCTGACCTCTCTACCCAGTTAATTTACCTGGGAAGAAACACTAGGTCTGGTGGCTCAAGCTCACTTACATTAGCAAGGACCATATGGATCTTGCTACTTGGATGGCTGCATTTCTACTTCTAACATGGTACAATGGGTGCCAATAAAGTCAGCAGCAATTTATCTTCACCATACCACAAGTAGTTTTTAAGCACTAGAGCTGTGTTAAATTAATTGATAACAGGCATATACTACAATCACTCAAATGAAGAGATAAAATTGACATTAGTTTTGGTTTTTTTGAGGTTTCCCAGAATAGATCTATATGTCTGGTTCTATTTAGAATTATAGATTGTTTTAAATGCCACTTTTATCATTAATTTCACGTAATCTAGCCTCAAATAGGTTACTCTGTATTCCTTTGAGCAAAACAACTATTGGCCTAAGTCAAAATTTCTTTTTTGAAAATGTTAGTAACGTCTATGTAACCAATGTGACTACAAAACTTCAAAGGCAATTGACTTTAAAGACTGTGGGTCCTGACCATAACACTTAAACAGGCGACAGAGTGTGCCTTGTCTCCTCCCTGTTTACTGGGTCTGATGGATTCTGATTTTGATTGGACAAAATATTCTAAAAGAACATGTTTACAGAGAACCAAAGATTGTAACACCAGATATGAAAGATTAGAATCTTCTTCAAGGTGTCCTATGAAGGAAATGTATATTGTTGCAATAGTGGGAAAGGTGAATCAGGCCATATGCTTCCAAAGGAAGAGAGGAAAAGATGAGATTAAGGAGGAATTTTGGAGGATGTGTTTGGAAACTTAACACACTGGGGAAAAACTTAAAATATGAGGCACTTTTACTTACAAGTTTTCAGAAAGAAATCAGGGCATTATCCTGATTTGCCCTTTCTGGATAAGAAGGAAAATAAGAGCTACAAATACCTCAATTCAACTCAAAAGTTCCTGATGGAAAAATGCAGGACAAATGTAAAAATGCCCAAGCAGGATGATTACACAGTACTTTCAAAACATCCAAAGTACAAGAATTGAACTTAACTACTATAGGCTGTAGAAAGGATGAGGTATGTTTACCAGGCTTAACCCAAAGCCAGAGCTATGAACCTGAATTGATATCTGAAGTGGGGAAAGATCTGCCTCGGTTATCCGTGATTTTCAAACGGGAATGCTTTTGCACAAAGAACGCTTACCCTCTGTATTTCTGTGTGTGTATCATCATTGATGTTTATATGCATAGTACCTGACCTAGGAGATACTAGCATTAGTTCCTATGGATGTTGTACATTTCTTCATAGTAAGTGAATGACTTTTCCTTTAATTAATTGGAAAAGAAGAAACTGCTTTGTGTTTGAATCTTTAAGTACTTCTATTTTAAGGCTTTCCATTAAGTTTTAGTTTATAATTATTTTACAATTGTTTAAAAATAGGATGCATATGAAAAGTTCAAAAGATATATAAGGCATACAATTAAAAAGTAAGTCTTTCTATCATATGTGTCTCCCAACATACCCACAACAGTTTCTTCACACACACACACACACACACACACCAGCACAGACTAGTCAGGCAGTCATGCACTCCGGCAGTTATCATTCAAGTAGTAGAGTGCTAGCCTTGAGCTGAAGAGCTGAGGGACAGTGCCCAGACCCAGAGTTCAAGCCCCACAACCGAAAAAAAAATAAAAATTATAACTAAATAAATAAAATAGTCTACAATCCAATTTTGATTACTGCAATGCTGTGGACCTGATGTCTGGAAAAAATTGTGTGAATTCTGAGTGACTATTTACAAACATCTTTGCAAGGTCATATCAGTACCCATAGAAGTAGGGAAAAACTTAGAATTAGAAAAATGGCTACAGACCCCAAATGCACCAGCATAAGGATACTCCAAGCTGATATTCCCTTTGAAGCACCTGTAGATCCCAAAGCCAGAGCTCCTGAAGTAAGCCATGGGCCCAACGAGGAGGAAGGTTGGATCAAGAAATCATGAGCTTTTGAGGAGCCTCCATACTGAATTCCAAAGTGGCTGAGCAAGTTTACATCCCCACCAACAATGCAGTAGGGTTCCCTTTTGCATTCCCTCCAGCATCTGCTGTTATTAGAGTTCTTGATTATAGCCATTCTAACTGGAGTGAGGTGGAATCTCAATGTTTTGATTTGCATTTCTTTTATGTCTATTGGCCATTCTTATTTCCTCTTCAGAGAAGTCTCTCTTTAAGTCTTTAGCCTACTTATTAATCGGGCGGTTGTTTCTTTGAGGATTTGTTGTTGTGTGATTTAATTTTTTGAGTTCCAAGTATATTTTAGATATGAGACCCTTGTCTGTTGTATGGCTAGTGAAGATATCCCAATCTATGGGCTTTTTTTTGGGGGGGAGGGTCTTGTCGTGGGGCCTGAACTCTGGGCTAGGTCACTGCCCCTCAACTCTTCAGCTCAAGGCTAGCACTCTACCACTTGAGCCACAGCACCACTTCTGCTTTTTTCTTTTTGCTTATGTGGTGCTGAGGAATCAAACGCAGGGCCTCATGCATGCAAGGCAAGCGCTCTACCACTGAGCCACCTTCCCAGCCCAATCCATGGGCTTTTTATTGATCTTGCTTGCCATGTCCTTTGCCACGCAGGAGCTCTGCAGTTTTTTTGAAATCCCATTTGTCCAACCTTTCTTTTATTTGTTGTGTTTCTGGGTCCTTATTAAGAAAAATTTGGCCTGTGCCAAGGAGCCCTAGTTTCCTTCCTGTAATGTTTTTAGGGGGTCTGCTTTGACTTCGAGGTCTTTGATCCATTTGGAGTTGAGCTCCCCTATGACCCAGCAATCCCACTTTTGGGCATTTACCCAAACAATCACAAACAAGGCCATATTAAAGCTACCAGCACAACTATGTTTATTGCAGCATTATTCACCATAGCTAAGATATGGAACCAATGCAGATGCCTCGCAGTAGATGAATGGATCAAGAAAATGTGATATATATATATATATATATATATATATATATATATAATGTGATATATATATAATGTGATATATATATAATGTGATATATATATAATGTGATATATATATACTGTGATATATATGTGATATATATATATATATATACATATATATTATATGAATTCTATGCCTCCATCAGAAAGAATGACACCGCCCCATTTGTTAGGAAATGGAAAGACTTGGAAAAAATTATATTAAGTGAAGTAAGCCAGACCCAAAGAAACATAGGTCCATGGTTTCCCTTATCTGCAATAAGTAGCATATGTCTAGGACAAGCAGAAGAGCTCAAAAGCTATGTATATATGACCATATAAGATGATGCTACGTGAAATGAACCCCAAGATAGGGACACAAGAGATTTTATCTTTCTTGTTGTTCTTTTTGATGTACTTACAATGTACTATGTGATTTTTTTTTTTTTGTTTCTTTGTGTTCTTCCCCCATGGTACAACCTCTGTTGTCAATGTATTTGATTCCAGTGTCCTGCATCTTGTATATACATTTTTTAATTTGGGGAGGGGAAGTGAAATAACAAAATGCTGAAATAAGGATACAGGATGACCCATTGTAACGAGATGTTGAAAACGAACTTTACAACTCTCCTGGGGAGGGAGGAGTTGAGGAGGTGGGGAGGAAAGGGATGGTAGGGGAAAAACAAAAGAGGAAGTAACAATGCTTGATAAGAAATGGACTCATTACCTTGCTCATGTAACTGTAACTCCTCTGTACAGTATCTTTACAATAAAAAAAAATTAAAATTAAAAAAAAAGAAATCATGAGCTACAACCTCTCCCAAAGGTGGTACCTTCAGTGTGTCCACAAGAAAATTCCCACCCTTCTAAAAGCTCTGGTTGGTAGCTTTCCTGTTTCAGCCTCACTAGGTGGAATGCAGAAACAGTGCCTCCCCTCTGAGCATGTAATCCCAAGTGTATTCTTATGCTGATTTGCCATCAAAATTCTGTGACCTGCTTGGATGGAAATACAAACTTCCGTGTAAAGTGTACTGTGTTATAGGATACAGGAAATCTGCAGTAGTGAAGAAATGTGAAGAAATGATATCAAAGCCAGCTTTAAAGGATATCCACAGATAAAATCCAAGCAACAGGAGCACCTAGACAACAATCACAACAGAACAAAGTCAGTAAGACATTGAGGTCTAAACGTGACCCAGATTCATGAAGTCTGAAGGAAGCTTGCAAAGACTGCAGACACTGAATTGCTCATATGGAGAATGTGTAGCATAAATATACTATAATTTAACAAAAGGGGCTCGGGGTATAGCTTAGTGGTAAAGTGCTTGCCTATCATGTCAGAAACCCCAGGTTCAATCATCAGCGCTACAAAAAAACAGATAAGAAATAAAAATGTATTAGAAGTGAGATTCAGGCACTAAACACTGGTCTAGAAGGTTTGACAAAGAATTAGAGAATTTCTATAAAACTTGGTAACAATTAAAATTTAAATTCAATGAATGGATTTAACATCAGAAAAGACAGTAAAATTAGATCTGAAGGAATTACTAGAATTCAGCCAAATACACAAAGAAATGTGAACTATGTGTGAGAGGTTACGGGACACAGTGAATTGAGTGGACATCCATCACTCATCCAACTGAAGTGTCAAGTAAGAAACAGGATTTGAAGCAAATGACAGACATTTCATTAAGAAATATCAAGAATGTTTAATATACATATGAAAAGATGCCAGACCTCATTAGTAATCAGAGACATGCGAATTATAACCAACATGAGATGCTCTTCACACCCACTGAGTTGGAAAACACTGAGTGTGTCTGACTGTATTGGTTAATCAGTAGTAGGCTGGAGCCCTGGAAGCTGTCACAAACTGCAGACAGCGTGTGAGACACTATAATGACACTACAACCATTGCATTTCCTAAAAATATGTTATTGAGAGTGAGGATTATGATAGGAAGTGTATCAGCCAAGTTTTCATTCAATTAACAGATATTTGTTGAGCTCTTCTGTTAGAAATTAGTATAAAAAAGTTTCTGCCCATCAGGGTTTATGATCTGGTGGGTATGATAAGGAAAAATCACACAAACTGATGTAGAGAAGCAGATGAAAGCAGTGAGACTTAGCTATGGCAGTAAGGGAAGGCTTCCCAAAGGAAGTGATCATGACATGAGCCAAGATAGAATAGGAGTGAAGTGGGAGAAGATGATAGTGATGGTCAAGGGTGTTGTTTCAGACAGAGTGGACATCTTCATATTCCCTGCCACTAAAGACAATTTTCTGTGGAGCTAATGGTCAAAGAGTCGTGTGGACGGAACAAAGTGATAGGATAGGAGATGGGGGAGAAAACTTAGTGGGAAAGGTTGGTGGCCATCTTTCCAGCTGTGACTCAAGAGGGAGATATAATTCACACCAAGACAAAGGTCTTTTCAGCTGTGGGAAAGATATGAAGTTTCATACTAAAGCAATGAAAGTCACTGATATATCTTAAGCAAAGGACAAAGTTATCCATGGAAGGAGGGGATTAAAAATAAAAGAAATAGATTATCACTTGATGATGAATCTAAACTTTCCATTACAAAGTGGAGTTTAAGATTTCTGTTACCACCCTTGTTGGCCACCTCCGTGAATCTGTTCAATCTCTGTTAACAGCTGGGCATGTTGTTAACACTGCCCACATCAGCTCTGTCTTGAACAGTCCAGTCAGGATGGTTCCTGTGACCTGTCTCAACAATCGCATGTGAGGTTGATGCCCAGCAAGTGACTTGCTGAGTGCTTCTGGAAGCATAATTGAATACATTTTTTCTGCTATGCAGCTAGAGCATATGATTTCTCCATTGTTGAGAGTGAAAACCAATTTGTCAGTAAATGAGGCAGATATGATTCAAAAGCAGAAGGACATTGAGACATACTAGTGGCTTGTGTATTTTCTGCTGTGGCTACGTTCATCATCAAACAATTTGCTCAAAAGTCATGTCCCTACTTTAAAGTTTATGGTGCTTCAGATTCTCAGGATCTGTATGTAGTCCTCCATAGCTTCAACTTTTTTGTCTTTAATGAGGTTATTGAGGTATATAGTTGACATATGATAAATCTTTAAAGCTTGCAACTTGACCTAAGTATACACCTGTAAAATCATATCACGATGTATATGTGAAGTATCCATCACCTCCAAATTTCTGTCCTTCTCTTCCTCCTCCTAACAACTCCAGCTTAAATGGACCTATTACTTTAACCAACTTCTGGTAGATTCACTTTGGGATACATCTTCTAAAACTCCCATTCTCATTTGTTTTCTTGACCCAACTCACCATAAATATCCTCCTTTCTGATGAAAGTCACTCTGTAGAACCTTTATATCTTTACTTTAAATCTTCACTTAAAAGAATTTGGGGACATTTCCATTTGTCTAAAAGTCCTAAAGTTGAGTTGGCTGTTGGGAAGGACAAGCCTGGTTGTTTCCACTAGCACTGCTGTTTTACACTTTGCAGGTGCCGTGTGTGGTGAAGAAGAGGGAGCTGTTGCTACCAGGGGCACTTCTGTTCAGAGCATTGAACTTGTCCTCCCACCCCATGCTAACCATCATGGAAACACGTTTGGTGGCCAGATTATGGCTTGGATGGAGACAGTGGCTACTATTTCTGCAAGGTTCTTGACTTTGGCTTTGGGCATTTATTTTGGGGACCAATGGGGAGAACATTAGTAAACATCTAGTTATCGAGCTAGCTAAAGAGGCAATGAAAGAACTGAGCGAAATATAGCCTTTAATCCAAGGGAGAAAAATATAAATCATTTACCTGCTGACCTTCCAATTAATCTTTCCTTTTGTATGAAGGTGAATAATATTTAAAGTCTCAGCTCAAAAATGTAACCGAATGACAATTCTTTATTCTGAATTATGAATGCTGCTCTTGCAACTCATTGAGGTAAGCTTACAAGAAAGCAGCTGCAGATTAGAAATGGATGATGGCCTTTTCACTTAAAAATTAGACTCTCAGTTTATTTACAAACCTTATTTAATTTTATTTCATTCATATGTTTGTACCAGTACTGAGGCTTGAATTCAGGACCTTGGACTCTTGCTCATCTCACTGCTGGTCCTCTACCACTTGAGCAATGCCTCCACTTCTGGCTTTTTGCTGGTTGATTGGAGATAGGGCTGCCAAAACTGGCCCCAAACCTCCTTTCTCAGGTCTTAGCTTCCTGACTCACTTGGATTATAGGCATGAGCCACCAACAGCTGGCTGATTATAAATCTTTTAAGAGGAAATTGTTTATCTAGATCTTTGAAATGTTGGTTAAAATCATTACGGCCAAATTATCAGCTGAAAAGTAGGAAACGAAAGAGTACTTAGGAGACTATTTTCAAACTCTCCTCCATTTTAAAAAGGCTATTTCATAAGGTAACTGAGTAGCATTTAGGAACACTATTATATGAAAATGCATATGAAGAGTTTTGTGACAATTTTGTAATCATTGAAAATTAAGGTTTTTCTTTTCCTCACACTAAAAGAGCTTTACTACTAATGTGTCTATAGTTATGACTATAATTAGAAACCTGTACTTATCCTCTCTATAAATTACATACAAATAAAAGAGCTTGTTTTTAAAATGAGATTGTCATTGTTAGTGACAATGTAGCATTTGAACTTGAACATATTCCACTGTAAATGCTTAACACTATAATTAACAGTGATGGAATCTCTTCACTGTGTTAGCACACCTCGTTAATGAATGGCCACAGTAGGATTCTAACATGGAGAGAACTACAGAAGTGTCTTTTGAAATTAAGTATTCTCTATAACTATTTCGAAATCCTATACACACAGAAAGTGTTAAAATATGACTTTCAACCATTGTGCAACAACACAGGTAGCCTATTTTCTGTGAGGGAAAAAAACTTTGCCTTTTGTGGCTGAGTCAATTAACTGTGAAGCTAAGGAAGCGGTATGAACAGCACCAGCTCCCCACTGCCTTCCCCTGTGTTCCTCTCCCGAACACAAGTTACAACTTCCTGGGACTGTCATTGTGTGATGTGGGGATGGATATGATCTGCAAATGACATCAGCAGGCCCAGATTTATTTTGGAAAGACTTCCATAGGGAAGAGCCTTGGGCAAAAGTGCTAGCATCTTAGTAGAGTCTCCACTGCTTGGGGACATGGTACTTTCAAGATTGTGTACAAACCACTCTGAAAGCCCACAACCCACTGAGTCAAGAGTTGATTATTTGGAAAACAGGTTGAGGACTTGTCTGTTGCTTTGTTCAATGGGTCAACAGCTGTTGCCAGCATTTTGGAGAATGGTCATTTTCTTCTCTCTCCTTCCCTTTGTCTCCTCAGCCGTCTATGTCCAGCACATCTCTTTTTGAAGTCAGTGGATATGTTCAAGTTCCGGGGTCCATCTACAATTGGGGACAGGCTTGTCTTCAGTGCTATTGTCAACAATACATTTCAGACAAGGTGAAGTATACTCTATGTATCAACTCAAACTTGCACATATTCGTTTTTATTTTTATTTCAATCTGAAGATGAATGAATGTAAGGACTACTTCAAAAATCAAGTTCCTTTATTTTTTTTCCAACTTCACATAATGCATGGCAGCATATTTGAAGCCACTATCCAGAGTGGGGTTCACCTCACACTGAGTCAAAAGTAATGGTTGTAGTGTTGTCCTGTAAGTGAGTGCCATCGGGGTGAGGCTGGTTCTGCTTTGTACCTAACATCCTGCCATAATCGTTTATTCTTTCTTTCAGTCCCCAAAGTGACCATACATTAGACCAATTCATCAAGAACCCATTTTTATCATTATGAATTCAAACCATTCCTAGTTATTCTGTTATTCTGGATACATTCTGGAAAGATTTCAGTTAAAGATTTCAGTTAGCATTTTTTCTTTTTTGGTTGGTCTTGGGGCTTGAACTCTGGGCCTGGGCGCTATCCCTCAGCTCTTCAGCTCATGGTGAGCACTCTACCGCTTGAGCCACAGTGCCACTTCTGATTTTCTTGTGGTTTTATTGGGGATAAGAGTCTCACGGACTTTCCTACCTGGGCTGGCTTTAAACCATGATCCTAAGATCTCAGCCTCCTGAGTTGCTAGGATTACAGGCGTGAGCCACCGGCGCCCGGCTCAGTTAGCATTTTTTCTAAGTGTAAAAAAATAGAAATCTAAATTTCCTATCTAATTTTAGAGTTTGAGTCTTTTAAGTGATGGAAGTGTTGTTTTTTTAGGGGCAAATAGTGACTTTGGCACAGTTTAGCCTCCTTTCCTAGGAACATACTTTGGTTATATATATAATACATTATTATATATTTGGTTATATATATAATACATTATTATATATTTATATATACATACTATATATGTACATGTACACTATATATGCATTATATTAGTGTATATACCTACTATATATACACTGTACACACACACACACACACACACAAGACCTCAAGAGACCTTGTTACTAGTTGGACAATTTTCCTATTTGCAAGTGGAAAAATAAAGTGGAAATTTTCTCAAGGGCTATCACAAACCAATTCCACAGCCGAAAAATGGGTTTTAATGGTGAAAAATTGCTAAACACAAAGCAAAAGACCCCAGAACGTCATCCTGTGGCTTAGGGGTGGTGGTGGTGGTCAGTGGAGGCCAGTCATGCCGCTGTCCTCTGTGCCCATGCCCTGCGTCGTCCCTTGCAGTGTCGAAGTTGGTGTGCGTGTGGAGGCCTTTGACTGTCGGGAATGGTCTGAGGGCCGAGGCCGTCACATCAACAGCGCTTTTCTTATTTATAATGCTGTTGATGATCAGGAAGAGCTCATCACCTTTCCCAGAATCAAACCCATTTCAAAGGTCAGTTATTACCTCATAAACTTCAATCATCAGACCCCATCTAACCTGGATAGGTAAAACTTGAATTCGTTAAACAAGGTGATTCCTGCTGTTCTGTTTGTTTTTGTTTCATATAACTTACTTTTATTAAACATGAAAAATACTGGCACATTTTTTCAAAGAGGCAAATATTCCAATAGCTTTGGGGATGATTTCTGCTTTTGTAATCAATGTTATGATTTTATCATAAAACTGAAATTATAAAACTTTTACCCTCCATCACTACCTCTATGGCTTTTCCCTTTGATTTTTTTTTTTTTTTGTCTAACAAAGTAAAATGGACTTTTTCTTTTTCTATTATTTTTTTTCTTCCCTAATCACTCTCTGAGTTTTCTTTATCACTTTCTTACAACCATTCTGGATGCTGTGCCATTCCATTGGAACTGTGTTTTCTTATGCAGGAGGTAGTTCTTGTCAACATTCACCTTATCATGAGATTTATGAATAATTCTGGTCATGGAAACTAAAATAATTGCTGCAAAGGTAGCACATTTATTCATATAACTGCCCTTTGTGGATTAAACATGGAAGCTCAGAGTACATGAGTTTGAGTCCTAGTGACTCAACACACCACTTAATCCTTTCAACTATCTTAGAAAAAGAGGGGCTAAGGACTGGAGCACTAAAATAGTAGATACTGATCATTTTATTTTGTACTTTTTAAAGGATGATTTTCGACGTTATCAGGGAGCTATTGCACGGAAGAGAATTCGCCTGGGAAGGTAAGACACAAGCCACAAGGAACCGGGGAATCCTTTTTTATCTGATTTTTTTTTTTTTTTCAAAAAGAGAAAGACTTTTTGAGTCTCTGTTACCACGTAAAGCAAAAGAAGGTTTGGTGTTTCTCAAAGCTAATGACTGACTTGTGGGAATGATTCTTCCTGGTTATCAACAAGTAAGAGGAGTTTTCTTTTTCTTGTTTCTATTCTATTCTATCATTTATCTATCTATCTATCCATCCATCCATCTTTTTTAAATTTTTATTTATTTTTTATTGTGAAAATACTGTACAGAGGGGTTACAATTACATGGGCAAGATAATGAGTACATTTCTTATCAAGCATTGTAGCCTCCTCCTTTGTTTCCCCTTCCCATCCCTTCCCATCCCCCCCTCCACCCATTCCTCCCCGCCCCCCCCACCAAAGTTGTAAAGTTCGTTTTCGACATAACCATCTATCTTTTATTTATTTATTTTTGAGCCAGTACTGAGGCTTGAACTGACCCCATGCTCTTGCTTGGCTTTTTTACAAGCAGCCATTTAAAACAGCTAATTTCAGCTTAAGGTAGTACCACAGTTGCTGTTGTGTGCTAAGTGTCACATAACTTGTTACAGGAAATATGTTATTTCCCACAAAGAAGAGGTTTCGTTCTCCATATACTGGGATAAAAGTAAGCAGGTAGGAGTTTCATGATTTAATGTTCTTCATATAAAAGTCACAAAAGTGGAAGTCTCTTTGTTTCACAGATTCAGATCCCACCTACACAATTTAGATGTAAAGGCCAATTAGATCAATGCATCATTTCAAATCTGAAACAAAACCAATATAACTGATGACCAACCACTTGCTTCTAGTCTTGGTTGGCATCTATGGATGCTCCCAAGTGACAAACTCACATACCACCAGCTGGGATCTGTAATCTGGTGTCTTACCATGATTTGTGTTGAATGACATGCCTGTGATCTTGGATCTAGTCATCAATTGAATGTTCTGGAAGGTAAAATGCAGAGAATAGCAGAAAGTTACTATTACACATTGGTTATAAATAATAAACATTAAGTAATGTTAATGTTTATGATCAATATAGCAAGTCAAATAACACTAATTTTCTAAGCATTTTCTAAGCATCCTAATGTTCAGAATTCTAAAGAGTTTAAGACAGAAATTTTGTCAGTTAAAGTTAGTTCTAAGCTAAACAGTATTACTTTGGTTCAACATATACCTTCTTGAATGGTGCCCATTTCTAGGCAAAAGATGTTTTCTCTTACATCTAGGTATTGAACCCACAGTTATTAAAATATTTGTATCTTAGGCATCCCTGAGCAATGCCAATGTGGAAGCCCTTAAGACTCTGGCGGCCAAAAGCGGTTGGGAGATTTCCTCGGCTTTGGAAAAGGTAGGATGAGCTGCCCACTGTAAGTGAAGGTGTGGTGGCTGTGGTTCTGCTGATCCGATTGCTGCTTTCATGAAGGTGAAAACCTTTGAGGGAAATGATTTCTCAGCAGCACCCATCTTTACAACTCTGTTTCTACATGCTGGTTGGGTCACCCAAATATGGTTACGTATTTGGATGTGAGATTCTCACATTCCATTACTTCCTTCCTCTTCTGCATGTGCATCTATCCAAAGCAGAGGATCTTCAAGAGTCAAGACAAACACTTCTCCATAAGGACATTCTGGACTTCATGAATTTCTCCCTCCAGCAGCTCCTTTCATCGTGACTACTTTAAAATTAATTTGTCAATCCTGCCTTACATTTTAACATTGTTCTAGTTACTGTAAACTGATATGTAAGCCTTAGCAACTTAACATTTTCTATAGTGTTCTAGACTAGATCACAAATGCCTTAAGAAAGTTTTGTCCAATTTTTTTGTATCTCTTCTAGCAGCTTTTACAATGTTTTGCTTGTTATCCAATTTTTTTAAAATGGATGCAATTTCCATTTCAATTTTAATTGATCTCAGAGCATCAGAAACTGATGCTCACACAGTAACCATACTCTGCTCTCTGAAGGACTTTTTTGCTCTCACTCTATTGTCTCATAGGAGTGCCTGCCTCTCAGAAATTGCTCAGTAATGCTGGCTCTTGGGCATGGTTCACATTTCAGTATGGGTTGTTTTTCATCAATGGAGCAGTATACCATAACATGGGATAACTATCCCTCTTCATCTTCTGGGACAGTCTTGGTTAACACTTCTATAGCCCATCATTAAAACTGCACCTCAGTGTTGGGTTTAATGACAGTTCATCTAGTCACCTTACCCTGAAATCTACAATTTACTTAGAGTCTACTTCCTTGATTCTTTTTAATTCTGTCTTTGATCTCCTTTGATTATTTCCAGTCTCGATGGCTTGCTTTTGTTATTTCTTTACCATTTATTACCAAAACCTTTCAGTCTTCCTTACCTCTTTTAGATCCACAGTTTCCATCTTTGCCGGGCTCAATGATACAGCAATATAGATTTAATAAAATGAAGCGATTAGTTCATTTTTATCTTTCATAAAATGTTTTCAATCTCATTACATAAAATCTGTTTCTTACATCACTGTTGGTATCTAGCATTCATAAGCAGCATGAATGGGAAAGCATATGCTCGTGTGCAAAAGAATATATTTAGTGAGCTTGTACAATAGATTAAAATGTTACTTCTTTAGGAAGTCATAACCAGAAACAAAGCCTAAATAATAAATTGCCTAATATTATAAGAAAACCACCAATGATTACTTGGGCAAGTCAACTCTTTACAAGTGCTCCATCTAATATATCTCCCTCCCCTCTATTTCCACCAAGGTAGAGCATGGCTGCCCCAAGGCCAGAATATGAGCAGGGTCCCATGTCCTCAGTTCCTGCCATATACCAGGGCCACTAAGCTTTGAGAAGGGCACTTAGTTTGGATTTGCCTATGTGAACCTCTTCTTCCCCTTGGTGTGGGGGGGCATAAGGAGATGTGTCAGGCTGAGTCAAATGAGGGAGCTCATCAATGAACTAGAGACCATCCATGGCGTTGTGTTTGATAATTACTTACAGCTTAGGTCACGTCTTCCCTCACAAGCTAGATTTAAGAATCTCGAGAAGGGGTATTTCATAAGAGCAAATAATCATTTATTTGCTTCTTATTTTGCTATAAGTTCATCTCATTTCTTTATTCTCTTATTAAGAAGAAAGAATACATATATGCTTAAATAAAGGTTCCTCCTTCACATCTTGAATTTTCCATCTGTTTGATTCCCACAGTGAAGTCCTAGCCTTGTGTTTGTTTATCATCTTGCAGCTTGTTTCCATGGGAACGATTATAAAATGGCAAATTTCAACACTAACTTCAAAGCACCCCAAAAGAGATGGAAAAATTGGGAAGAATAGAAATGTGCCTCGAACAGACATTCTTATTGTTGTCAAAAACACAGTCTAAGGAAAGCTCACAATAACAAGGAAGGCATAAATGTTTAAGTATATGCCAATGGCTTTCCAGGACCTGTCTCTGCTTGTCTAGGGAATATAGTATGCATTAGCAACTCAGGTACTGGCCCCACAGAATGAAGAATGATGAGGTCTTGTACTTCAGAAATCAAATAGGATGCTTCTAAGGCTCTGCTGGGTGGTTGAGTTGGTTGTGGTGGTGGTTGGTTTGTTTCCTGGGCCTCTTTAGCCCATTTGAATTCATATGGCAAAAGCCTTAGCTTTTGATCCAAAGTCTCTTGAGGAAAAGGAAATGTTGGTCTGCCTCTCAGCCTTGGTGACACTCTCGGTTCTCTCTGGGGAAAAGGTAGGAAAGCATCAGAATGAAATCAAGAGAGAAAGGCTGATACTCCTATTTTCATGGGTAAATCTGTTGCACAATATTCAGATAACCCACATATTCTTTCAAGGACTGAGAGTACCAATACCAGTTAGACTTCTAGACACCCAAGTATTGGAACTTAAATTGCCATTGTTTGGTTTCATTTTTATCCTGGTAATAAGATGCCTTAGCTAGAGCAGTCCATGACTCTGTGTGTGTGTGTGTATGTGTGTGTGTGTGTGTGTGTGTGTGTGTGTGTGTGTGTATGTATGTGTATATGAATTTTTTATCTTGTGATTCTATTTTTCTTGTTACTATCTTTTAGATAAAAATATACACTCTGGAAGAGAAAGACGTTTTATCTGTTTGGGTTGAAAAGCAAGTGAAAAGCCCAGCACATTTGGCTTATCATCTCTTGTCAGACTATACAAAGCGACCTTTGTGGGACCCACATTACATGTAAGAACAAATTCAAATACTTTTTTTCTTAATCAATCTTGGTAAAAGACAATCTCTATGTGCAGTGAGTCTCCATTGCCCAGCATATGCTTCATTGTTTTATGAATTCAGATCCATTTTTAAAGTTTGCTCTATACCGCATATTTTATCAGGTGGTACTGAGACATGCAAAACAACAAACCAGGACTCATTTATTTGCCATGTTTTGTCCTCCTCTATTGTGATTTTACAAGCAACTCAAGATCAATAGTATTCCTGTTTCTGATGCTGCTAAGATCTCACCGGCAACAGTGACAGGACCTGTATTGGAGTCCTGCTTTGCAAGGTGGAAAAGAAAGAGATTCATCATTAATATTTTTAACTTACTGTGATTAATACTACGTAATAGGCAATTTAATAACATGAAAGTGAAACTTCTCTTGGGTCACATGTCATAATTGCATAGATGCCAGGATAAAAGCTCATGGCTAATACTCTGAGAAAGGATCCTTAGTATAAAGCATCAATGTTTGTAGATGCAGTGTAAGTATGGAGTTGTTCATATTTAATCCTTACAATAATCTCATAGTTATTTCTATTTCTATTTCACAGATGAAATAAGAAATAACTTGCATAATGTAATTTGTCCATAAGTGGCAATCTGAGATTCAAAAGCAAGTTGCGTAACTCCAGACTTAGAGCTTTATCCAACCTACCACATTCTCCTACCTAAGTGTCCTTTCTGGACCTATCCATATGACTTACTAGTCTCCAAAATATTACTTTATCCTAGAGAAAAATAATTGGAAAAAGAGATTAATGCCTTTATTTGCAGCATGGAAGGCAGTGAAGTTGGAGTCAGAGAGACAACATTCTCTCCCTTGCATGCAGAGATAGTCTTCCTGACCAATTTGTTCTAAAGGTAGCCTTTGAGCCATGATGCTGACTCTGGTGAAATGGTCAGGGGAGCCAAGAAGGGGAATATAGACCAATAATGAGATTATACAAGTAAATAAGGGGGGTAAATGCCCTGGTCTAGCAGGAAGAAAAGTGTATCCTTTATTCATTGGTCTATTCACACAGAACCTGTGAAGCCAAAGACCATGTGAGTAAGGATGATCAGATATATCATGTCATCTGTCCTAACTTCAATGGGGGTAAACCAAAGGACTTCGTAGTACTTGTATCACGAAGAAAGCCTCCCAGAGACGGGTGAGTAGATATAGTTCAAGTACTATAAAATAAAATAGAAATAGAATAGAAATGAAATGAAAAGTTGATATGAAACATAAGAGAGCCACTGTGGGTATTTTTGCTCTTGTGTGATATATACCTTTGAATTTTTGTAGTTAGATCTTAAGTTTTTATATTAAAAATAATGATCATATATTAGGTACTAGCAGGGTGCAAAGCACTGCACAGGATGCTAAAGAACTTTTCTTTTGTATTGATCTTCATAGATGTAAAAGTGGTATTTGGTAAACTGGTGAAACAATCCACTATTAGTAAAAAGGCAATGAAAGGCACAGAAGTTGGTTCTGATTTCTCAAAGGCAGGAGTGGGCTAGATTCCAACACAGCTGGTTGTCAGCTGGGCCTATGTCCCTTTTATGTATGCCAGACTGCTCAAAATGTGGCATCTAAGTGGTAGTGCCCACAAAATGGCATATACATGTCCAATATAGTATACTTATTAAGCCAAAAGACATGAGAAATAAGTGAATGGTCCATTTTATGAATTATGATGAAATGGTACCACAAAGCAGTGTCCCACCACTAAAAAGGATTTGTCACCAAAGAGTCTAATATAAAAACACTTCTAAAGACATGTGGTTAGGAGGAAAACCAAATTGTAGAACATATTTGTAACATGATTGTATTTATTTTAAAAATTGACATGCATACCTTTGCCTATATAAAAATGTTATTTATAACTTAGAGGGAAAAGATTGCAGTTCCACTAGACAGAAAGATTTTATTTCCTTGCCTAAAGGGTTCTCTATTATTGAAGGTTTCCTTAAAACAATGAGTACTGTTTTTTAATTAAAAAGGAAAGGAGATTGAAATCACAATCCTTTAGGTTGCAATGAAACTCGAAGGTGACTGCAGTCTTGTGAGGTTTATACAAAGTTTATGTACCTATTGTGGCCCTTTATTCCCATCCTGTACATTTGAATGTAGCCAGGGAAAAGGTTTTCTGATGGAGCCAGGTCTTCAGAACTTTACTTCTACCTGGATGAGGAAGTTGCATTGTGAGCTAGGGGTGTGGCTGGGTGATAGATGCTTGCTTACTATGTGCAAGGGCCCGTGTTGGACCCCAGCATGGTGAAGAAAACAAACAAATGAAATAAGCAAAAGTGGTCCTTACTATAGAACCTTACTTTCTAACAACTATTCTTTGTTTCTCACAAGCAGTTAGAATGTGTTTCCTCATCTTTCAGTAACACCTACGTGGTGGCCACAAGATCAGTCATCCTGCCATCAGTGCCACCGTCTCCAGCGTACATCCGAAGCGAAGCTGTATGTTCTGGGTTTCTCATCAAGGCTGTGGACAGCAGTTCATGCACTGTACGTGTGCCCCTTAAGTTGTACTTTCAGATGTGGAAAAATTTTCTTCATTCCACTTTTAATGACAACCTTGTAATTAGTCCACAACCAGAGATTCCTAAGACCATCCTTTCAGATTCATTCTTACAAGGCCCGGAAATTTAAGATCATAGCCCCCGCACAACAACAAAATTCAGATCTGTGCTTTAAAAATCTCCAAACCAATGAAAAAAATAAACTAACATAGTGCATTTCCTTTTTTAAAACAGGTCTCTTATGTTAGCCAGATGTCAGCTAGCATCCTTCCTTATTTTGCTGGAAATCTTGGTGGCTGGTCAAATTCCATTGAAGAAACAGCAGCTTCTTGTATCAGATTCTTAGAGAAGGCTATGGAAGATGGACCTCGGAGTGAGATGGAAATGGCCCGCTCACAATTACCTGCAATTTAATTTTCCACTTTTACTTCCAAGCATCCTTAGTCATGACCCTTGGAGCCATAAAGTAGATTTAATATCAGCCTAAGTAAAATGCAGCTAAGAAGAGGTTAAAACCCAAAACATATCTCCAGTCACGTCTCAGTGATTTGGATTAGCATTAAAAGGGCTTTGAACTGTGTTTTAGAAGCTCTGTGGCACTACCTCTCCCAGGGACACAGATACTGGGAAATTGCCTGGATTAGTATTGCATGTTCTGAAAAATGATACAAATCCAGTTAAAATTATTATAAACATTTCTAGGCTATAGAAGTACAATGTGTATTCTGTTGGAAAGTTTATGAAATATTAAAAAATAATGCTTTTTCTCTAAGTTGATGACTATGCAGCATTGTATCATGCATAACAGGTATCTCTGACCAAGGCATCTGACATGATGTATTACATGTTTTAGAGCTTTAAATTAGGAAGACATTAAAACATAATGGAATTGAATCAATTTTAGTAATGAGAACTACTTTACTAGTGACATTGTGTGTGTGTATATATATATATATATATATATATATATGCATATATATATATATTCCAGGTGGCTGGTCAATTTAGTATGTATTGATATATATATATATATAAATACATATATATACATACACATACACATACACACTCATATGCACACTCACACAGAGTACCTGAAAATGTGATATGACAGAGAAAGGCAATATTTAATATGTTGTCCTTTCATAACTATTACATTAGCACTTTCTCCTCAAGACTTCAACATTCATTATTCTACTCTATGATATGCCCTAAGACATATTCAAGGTAGTCTCCTTTAAGGGACAACTTGCAGAAGTTGAAGGAGTTTTTCATTAGTTTAGAGCATTTGACAAGTTAGATCCATCCTGTGATTGGTTTATTGAACCTCTACCTCTGCTTCTTCTCACCCACCCCAACTCATCCAGTAGGCAGCACTGGTTACAAATATTTTTTGCCTGTGTCTAGAGGTGTTCATGTATGTGAATTTAGATTGTGCTGTGATTTTATGAATTAATATTTATATATAATAACGATAAACATGCAAATTTAAATGATTGTGAGGCACTTTCCACATCTGAAAATATTTTGAGAATATGTGTACATTTAAAAAGTGAGAAAATTAGTAATAAAGGAATTGCATCATATCAAAATTTGGCATGCTATAATCTAACATTTCTCTTGTAATTAAAACTATTTTGAAGGTCATCTGTGTAGCCTGTCTTTGACTTAATTTTTTTTTAAAACTTTTCTCCTGAACAAGAGTGGTAATATTTTGAGGCCCATGGAGTACCATAATTTCATCTGCATTGCAGTAACACATAACAGTGCTGCTCACTGTAATCAACAATCTACCCATGGGAGATCTGTTCTAAGACTCCCCGATGGACACCTGGCACCACTGATATTACCAAATCCTGTACTCTATTTGCTTACTTAAGACTTAATTAACAAATTAAGCACCATAGCTGATGAACAACCACAACTAATAATAAAATAGACCCATTGTAACAACAAAGTGTAATAAAAGTTATATAAACAGATTCTCACAGTACTCCATTGCTGTGTTCACTTTTCCTCTGAAATGAGGTAAGATAGTATAATGCCTACATGGTGAGGTAAACTGAGGGAGAGTGTTGAGACATAGCATCTGCCACTGTCATCCTTCTTACTGGACCACAAACAGCACCTTACTGTGACAGCCTATAGTGAGTGACTTCCTGGCTACTAGTGAAAAGCATCATGGATACACAGGGCAAGAGGGATAATTCATGCTCCTCACAGGGTGGGGCAGTGACACATGTCCTAAAATGTATAAATTGCTTCTTGGATTTTTATTTAATATTTTTAGTAGATCAGGAGCAACTGAAACCATCAAAAGCAGTCTCACAGCTAAAGTGGGGAGGGGGTGGAAGGGAGAGTCTGTGAACCACAAAGTCCTACCAGTATGGTAGCCATTAACCACATGTGGTTGCTAAATTAAAATTATTTTAGTTACACAAGCTCCCTTCCTAGTATTATTGGTCACACATGTTTGTGACTGCTATATTGAGTGGTACCGGTAGAGCACATTTCCATCGTTACCGAGGAGTCTTTAGATGATGTTAGTGCATTTGGTTTGACCCAGTCTTACAATGCAGACAGGCCCTGCTGTTGTCCATTTTCACCTGTCCTCATCTCAGATAGCCCCTTACTCTCTTTCCCTCAACTTTCGGAGGATATTCCACTTTTATGCCTCTGAAGAAAGTCATGGGGCTCATACACCTAACTCTTTCTTGAAGCATTCAGCTTAATCGAAAGTGCTCATCTTCAGGATTCTTTGTCTTTATGGTCATTCACAGGACATAGTAGAAAAGACAGCAGTTAATCAAGCTCTACTTAGGGCATTAAAGATATGAAATATATTGCCCTATTAATGCCACTGTTATATAGCTATAAAGTTGAACTGTCCTTAATTTTGCATTTCTTTTCATAATAGAAATCTGATTACTGTTTTATTTATTCAAAATATATTTTACTCCCCAGTTAGAATGGCCATCATCAAGAAAACTAACAACAACAAATGACAGTGTGGATGTGGCCAAAAGGAAACACTGCTACCCTGTTGGAGGAAATGTAAATTTGTTCTACCACTCTGGAAAACAGTATGGAGGTTTCTCAAAAAACTAAACAGAGAACTACCCTATGACCCAGCAATTCCATTCCTGGGCATTTATCCAATAGAGCACAAACAAAGATTCACTAAAGCTATCGATACAACTATTTTTACTACAGCATTATTTACCATAGCCAAGATAGGGAATCAGACCAGATGCCACTCAACGGATAAATAGATCAAGAAAACGGGGTATATACACACAATGGAATTCCTCTCATCCATCAAAAAGAATGACATTTTACTATTCGTAAGGAAATAGAAAGACTTGGAAAAATTGTATTAAGTAATGTAAGCCAGACCCAGAGAACCACAGGCTGCACAGCTTCTCTCATTTGTGGGAACTAGAATGTGCCTATAAACCTAGAAGTACACACACTGGGTGGCACCCAAGTGGTTATAAATGAATGAACTGAACTATAAGAGAATCTATGGAGAGCGCAAATAGTATAATTCTTTAGAAAAATGAAATCAAAGCATAACAAAATAAGTACCAGGAAATGGGTACTTACAAGGCGGGAGTAGGAGGAGAGGGGTTGAAGAATGAGTAGGGGAAATGAGTGGAATCTAGACAAGAATGCACTGTATATGCCACAGAAAAATAAAGGAAGGGGTAGGATGAAGGGGCTGAAGATGTTCAAGTGACGGCACATATCAAGATGCACTGTATACATAAGATGCTTTGTTAACTGGCAAAAATTCACTACATAACCTAATTATTTTTAAATGGAGGAAGGGGTGGGGTGGGTGAGAATGGCAAAAAGAGTGACATTAAGAAGCACTATGTTCATAAACGGCTCTGTTGAATGGCAACTCCTTTGTACAACTGCTTAAAGAAAATTTAAAAAATATTTTTAAAAAGGTATTTACTAAGAGTTTCCTTGCAGGACATCGCCACAAATTCAGCACAACATAAATAAAATGAACAAAGAACATACAGTATTAGAAGTTGTGTAATAGGGAAGAACATAAAGTAGTGTTTTTTAAAAAGTGCTGGGATAGGTAGAGAGGAGAATTGTTGGAAGTTTAAAAAGTAAGGCTTGAGGAACATTTTAGCATGACCTGAAAGGAAACAGGTAATGAGCCATCAGGATCTGAAGATGGGGCCTGTATCCTGCCTAAGGTATAGCTACGGCAGAGCCTGAGAAGAACAGTGTTTCCGGCACTTTCTGGGAAAACCAGAGACGCTCTTGAGATTGTAACAGAATGAAATGTAATTAAAGACAGTTGAATTAAAGACCTGTCATTAGTGCATGTAAGCAAATGTGGTTGCTCTAAGAACAAACAGCTAAGCTAGTTTATCAACACTCAGGACCTGGAAGCTAAGGACAGAGAACAGCAAAGTAAAGTCAAGTGTGTATTTTCCTCTGGAGCGTCAAAGTACCTTTAAAAATACTTACGATTCCATGCCTTTTTGATGGAAAGAGTTTTCAAGTGCTTCTAACAGGACTGAAAGCTTTTTGATTAAGAACAGAGGTTCATCCTTATTAATTCTTCCTGGCTCTAATACAAACAAGTTGCTGTCTATATCCATTTTTTTCTATCATCTTTATTGTAGCAAAACTCAAGAAAATCAATGTGAAAATCAGCATACAGAGTATTCTTATACTCAAACACCTGTAGGAAATAAAGACTCTTAATAAAACTTAAATAACCTGGAATATGCTTCTCCCATCGTGTGGTTTTGCTCATGTTTCTTACAGCATATTTCAGAAATAGCTTTGAAAATTTTTACTTTCATAGTTTTGGGGTTAGTTTGAAAGTATACATTGAGAAGATATAGATGAAGGAGTGTTATGGATTGTGATGAATTATTAATCTGAGGCAGATTAAATCTACTTAGAAGTGACTTCTCACCTTTGAAAGTGATGTAGCATTTGAAACGAGGGTGCTCAGTAATCTTACACAGCACATTCTTGCTCAGTGTGCCAGATGGCAAAACTTACCATGTCCTAACTCTGAGCACTAGGTCAAGGTAAGCACAGTATGGCCTCACAGTGAAGCTCTACCTGTTGAGTGTGAGGCTGGGGTAGGGGATGGTGGGGGGGGAAGAGGAGGTCAGGGGGCAATGAGGCTCTCTTATTTGCTATTGACTATGGTGCTTAGTACTTGTTCAAAACATTTTAGGTCCTGGGACATAACCCTATGATATGTAGTATCCACCTGGGCCTATTTCGTCATCTTCATAGGTCTTGGGAAAGAAAGGAAAGTAAAAGAACTAGGCTGACACTTGAGCTAACAAAGTCCTTTGTTTCTGAACCAAAATTCTCATGGCTTTTGCCTGTATTTGCAAAACAGTAGTAGGCTAACCTACTAGCCCACGTGTATAACAGAGGAAAAGCCTAGTCTCATAATGACCTACAGGAGTCGATGTGGCACATATGAGTATTGCTCAGAAATACTTGCCATCCCTGCCTCCATGAAAAGTATCATTTCCTGCCTTTCTCTTGACAAGTTCAATTCAATCCCTATCAAAATTGATATCAAAATCCCTATCAAATTGTTCAGAAATTGATGAGCTGCTCTTCATCATAAGACTTACATGAGAGCCCAATGCCAGAGGCTCACACCTGTAATCATAGCTATTCAGGAGGATGAGCTATGAGGATCATGGTTTGAAGTCAGCCCAAGGAAGAAAGTCTATGAGCTCTTATCCCCAATTAACCACCAAAAAGCCAGAAGTTGAGCTGTGGCTCAAGTGGTAGCTAGAGCAAGATGCTGGAGCCTAAAAGCTCGGAGACAGACAGAAAGAAAAAAAACATTTAAATACATATCTAAGGGTCATTTTCCTAAAATCACATTATCTGACCTTTTCTGCTTGACTCATTCTTGGTTCATGGCCCACAACCAGCACGCGCACACACGTGCGCGTACACACACACACACACACACACACACACACACACACACACACACACACAGAGCATGGGACTCAGAAAATCCAGAACAAGTTGGACAATAATAAAATTGTAAACCTCACATTTCCTGATTTCAAAACCAACTACAAAGCTACAGTTATTAAACGGTGTGGTGCAGCCATAAGGGTTCACATGTAAAAATAGAATAGAAATCAATGTCCAAAAATCACCATTATGTTTATGATCAGTCAATAAAAAGAACACCATGCAAAAGAAAAAATCTAAAATGTTCAATCACAGTGCAGAAATAAGTGTACATCCATTTGCAAAGAATGATGTCAGATCCTTACCTCAAGTCATATACAAAAAAGGAACTAAAATTCAATTATAGACATAAGCACAAGATGTAAAAAATAAAACAAGAAAAATACATAAATCTAAATCTCATTACTTTGTTAATGGTTTCTTAGATATAACACTAAAATCATAAGAATTGAAAGAAAAAATATAAATTGAACTCCATTAAAATGTAAAACTTTTGTGTCTTTCATTTTGTGTTCTCAAAATGAAAGAAAACAGCCGGGCACAGGTGGCTCTTGCCTGTTATCCTAGCTACTCAGGAGGCTGAGAACTGAGGATCATGGTTCAAAGCCAGTCCAGGCAGCAAAGTCCATGATACTCTTATCTCCAACTAACCATTAGAAACCAGAAGTGGTGCTGTGGCTCAAGTGGTAGAGCACTTACTTTAAGATGAAGAGCTCAGAGACAGCGCCCAGAGTTCAAGATCCATGGCTGGCAGAAAGAAGAAAGAAAGAAAAAGAAAGAAAAAGAAAGAAAGAAAGAAAGAAAGAAAGAAAGAAAGAAAGAAAGAAAGAAAGAAAGAAAGAAAGAAAGAAAGAAAGAAAGAAAGAAAGAAAGAAAGAAAGAAAGAAGGAAAGAAAGAAAGAAAGAGAAAGAAAGAAGGAAAGAAAGAAAGAAAGAGAAAGAAAGGAAAGAAAGAAAGAGAAAGAAAGAAGGAAAGAAAGAAAGACAGAGAGAGAGAAAGAGAGAAAGAGAGAAAGAGAAAGAGGAGAGAAAGAGAGAAAGGAAGGAAGGGAAAGAAAGAAGGAAAGAGAGAGAGAGAAGCAAGTATTTGCAAATCTCAATTCTGATAAAGGAATCAGATACAGGTTAAAGAACTTACAACTCCATAATAAACAACAGAACTCACTTGTTAGATGTAAGAAAATATAATAAACATGTCTTCAAAGGTGATATATAAAAAAGAGGTGCAATCACTAGCATTGCCAAGGATGTGGACAAAGTGAAACTCATGCGTGGAGATGTATGCTAAGTGAAGGAGCGAACCCCAAAGACAGCATGTCTACATTTATGTAGTCTACAAGGCACGTCCACAGAAATAGAAAGTGTCTTAGGGGCTGGGGAAGGTGGAACCGAGGAATGGACTGTTTGTGGGTGAGGGTGACAAACTGTCTTGGAATTAAAGACACAATGAGAGTAAATGAAAAGCTCACTGTAAAGGAGGGATTTTCAGTAGGTGAATTATATCTCAGTAAAGCTGTTCAAACAACCCAACTTTCCAGTGGGTTTCCAAATTTGGAATGTGACTTTGCACTTTCCTTCTGTCTAGGAATGTTAGTGGAAGGTTAAGGGTAAAGGCCCTACTTTTGAGTGGTTAGAATAGCTTCAATTAGGCCCCTCCCTCTCCATGCCTCAGCCATGTTCATTTATTTGTTCACTGAATGTAACAAATTCATTTCCTTCTTAGAGGCTGTAGCAAACTCTTCTTTCTTCAGAGATGGTTTTTCTCCAGTTTTGGGGTTTTTGTCATTTTACCTTACAAACTTTTCCCTCAGAACCCAGGTTAGCCACTTTAAAGTAGCTGCAGGTGACTTGCACCATTCATTAGTTCCTTTTTATTATCACTTATTTAATTCATTCCTTTGATAAATGTGTATATTTTGTATATGCTGAGCACTTCTGGGAATATAACAATGACCAAAGGCCCAAATTCTGGCCTTCAGTTTACCTAAAACTGATGGGGGTGGGACAAATAAATACATGGTGCTAGTTATACAGCTAACAGTTAAAGAGAAATATTATAACCTTTATAGAGAATTATTAAACTATGGGAATGAACACCTACCGGAGTAATGAAGAGCTTCTACTTTCTATGAGACTGGCTGTGGAACAACTACGAAGCTGACTGTAAATCAGATGTCTAAGGTAAATAAGGCGGGGGTAGCTGCAAGGGGTGAAGGATGTTGAGAACAACTTAAGGCTTGTGGTTTACAAAAAAAAATGGTGGGAAAAATGACAGGAATCTAATCATGTTCCTCTCCCAACCTCCTCCAGGGAAGAGATTGTTTAAAGACATTCTGAATTTGCAGTGTTCAGTAGGAACATCTGGCAGCAGGCAAGAAGATGGGACTGGAAGATGGGATATTAGGACTAGAAACCAGAAAAGGGAGAGAAGCTGGCAAGAAGCAGGTATAAGCTCTGAAAATAGAGTGCGTGCAAGGTAGATTATCTTTAAGAATACAATATCCTTTCTGATATTCCAGAAGCTCCCCGTCCACTCTTCAGCCCTCTGCAGGTGGCTTTCTTTTGTATGGTCAACCACAACCCCAATGCATAAGAGTTCCGGAAACACATTATACAGTTGTGCGTATGTGTATGGCAGTACAGAGGTTTGAACTCAGGGCCTTGAAACTGCTAGACAGGCACTCTACCATTCAACCTATGCTCCCAGTCCTCTTTGGCATTAAGAAAAATATCCAACATCTTTTGTTCAAGAAACACACTATCACTCTGGGTCTCTGCCTCTGGTACGTTTGTAGGCATTTTTTAATACTACATTCATGCTTGCAACTTATTTCTAACACTCTTGCTCCCTTATAGATCAAAATGCAAATAGTGATTCAAGGTAGACAAAAGCACTAGCATGTCTTCACTAATAACTGTTCAAAAGCATACATTTCTCTTGCACCCTCCAAGAACATTCAGCTTTTATAGGCAGTGAAGTCTGGGTGTGTTCAGACTAAAATGAGTAAGGCAGATTTTCTGTCCTTCTCAAGCCCCATGACTTATACAATTCCCTTTAAGTGGTACTCATTTCGTTAAGCTGTGTGATGATGAGTATTTTGTCATGTTTTCCTCTTACACTGAAAAGAAAAGAACAGCTCCTATTAAGATTAGAACTGTTGAGTTGTACAGACATGAAAACAGAGAAGTGTTTCTTTTCTTATTTGGTAAATATTTTGCTTTTGAGACATCAGTAACTAATCACAGCTGTTTCCTTCAGTTACAAATGGATTCAATCAGGTAGAATTTCAAATGAAATGCACAAACCACCAGAGTCATTCCATTATTCAGTACAATGGTAGCGTCAAGCCTTGTGAAATATATGTATTAAGTATGCATGTATTCATCAAATCAGACAAAGAAGCTAATGGGTCTCTGATTAGTGTTCTAACTCTATTATGGTGATACTTTCATCTCACCCTGACTCATCTAAAACATGTGAACAAAATGCTAGTAAGTTTGATGTACAATCTGTTATGTGACATTATTCTGCCTAAAAACTGCACACTGAATTTTGGCTAGAGCTTCTCTTGAAAATCAAAGGCAAAAAAGAGCTGTTGTGAAGTTGACAGATTCTTCAGTATTAACACTAGTAATTTTAATGCTTTATATCAAAACTAAGTAACTAATCAGATCCTAATTTATGCCCATCTAGGATTCACAAAATACCTCATGTCTAAAGAGTCTGTGGTAAGGATACTAGAGAACAATAGCTACTTCAGTCAGAATCAAGGTATCAGAAAAATAAACAAATAAAAAATATTCTTTTATTTGACAGTAAAAAAATAAATTTTGTGACAACTTATAAATAAGTTTCTTTAATAATAGACTGAGTGCTGGATCCAGAAAACAACATAACTAAAATATCCATTAAGAAATAAAAGCAGGGTTCTTTAAGGGTTAATTCACTGTAATGTAAAATTTCATTTAAAAAATATGATGATTACAATCAGGCAGATACCGACTTAGCTATGCTTAAGTTCTGTTCCATAAAGTATGCTTTTTGTTGGGCATTGTGACACATCTCAGCACTTGGGAGGCTGAGGCAGCCCAATTCCAGGCCAACCTGGACTACCTTTGTGAGACTCTTGTCTCCAAAAAACAAAGAAAACAAACTTTTAGAGAATACAATGTAATCATCTTATACATTTCTTCAGATATTTGGTTTTTTTTCTAAACAGTATAGAAGTACTCCTTGATGAACTCTGATATCTACAATACAAACTTGTTTTTAAGGGAGCCCAGGATCATCTAACTGTAAAGCAAGTCCAGTTTGGAAAGTAACAATAAAGTGGCAATTAACAATAGTACCAATCTTTATTAAAAATTAACAACCTTTGGTATTTTTGTTTTAGGTTTCTGTGGTTTAGGCATATCCAAAATTTCTTCATAGTCTGCACTCATCCCCTTCGCCCAGCGACCAACTGTGACCATTCGATCTGTAGGGAATAGGAAAGTTAGGAAATAAGACAAAACAGTAATCAAATGCATGGTCCTTAGATCAGTATTGCTTTAGCAAAGGAACTAGTTTTGACATGAATAATCACAAGGAGGAAAAACTCCATCACTAAAGGAAAGTGAGCAATTCTGTAATTGATTATAACCCTTGATTGTAGAGTACCACAGGCAATTTCTCCTCCCAATTAGGGAAATGCAGCAACTACTTTGCAATGCACAAACTGATGAGAAAGCTCTTTCATTCTTTCCCAGAGTTCATCATTACAGAGCCAATGAATTCTGAAAGTCTGTAAACATCAACACTTACGAAACATCAGTTTTAAATGCACAAGATTCCACCTGTGAAATTATACAACATCTGCTTGTCAGTCTTGTTATTTGGGAAGTGGCAATCCTCCCAGGAGGGAGAATTCAAATCCCACTTCATCATTTCAATCTTACTGCCTACAGGGTGGTAGAGACTATCTTCTAGACAAGATTATAAATAAGAACTCTTCGTTTTAAAATTTAAATGTTAGGGATAGGAAGTAACAACAGGCAGACTGCTGAAGTAAAAGAAGTGTACATTTCCCTAAGAAGTACGACAGGCCCACCTTGCTGTCCGCTGTCCTGCTTCCTTTAATGCGTGATTATCATCAGGAGAACTAATGAAATAATCATCTTTCCTTTTCTCAAAAGGAAATAAATTTGCTGTTTCAAATATGAGGTTTTTGATAAACAGGCTTGTATTTCACTAGGAAGAAACTAACTAGCCAGATGCTGTGTTGATAACACATTTTTAATAATTATGGCAGTTTTTGCAATTAACTTTGAATTATTTAAGCACACACAAAGCAAGGCATATATGAGGAAACTCAATCCTCCAAACATGGAAAGTTATTTTCATACTTTGATTTTTCTCTTGGTACATCAATTTTTTTCTGTAAATAATTACTTACAGAATTATGTTCTAATATAAATTTATTAGTAAATTTTAAAAGCTTAGAAGATGCAGTATAAAACATCTATGGTTTACTGATCATATATATGTATATATGTGTGTATGTGTATATATATATATATATATATATATATATATGTGTATGTATACACATACTTTTTCCTGAAAATTATAGCTAATGCTCAATTACGCAGTTCTATGTCTACTGCTGACACAAAAGTAATTAAGACATTGGCAGGGGAGGAAAACAGTTGTCTTTAATAAACAGTGTCTCTGAGTTATTAATAAAATGCAACAAAAATACAGAGGAATAGCTACCTTATCCTTTCTAGATTGAGGGCTATAGACTCACCTGGATTCTGACCCTCAGGGCAATCTTTCTTAAAATGTTCCACAGAGCCACAGAGTTTGCAGCCACCACCTAGTAAAAGAACAAAGTCATTGAATTGGACCTTACACTTACACAGACAGGGCTTGTAGTATCTCAAAGCACTTTCGTATCTCACTTGATCCTTACATCCCTGAAGCTGTAAAGGTGGCTGAAAACAGGAAGCTAAGTGGGTAGGTAGGTGTCACTATTTCCCTTTTTTGAGTCAGTCTCACTATGTAACCCATGCTGGCAAGCTGGCCTGCCTCAGCCTCCCCAGTGCTGGGTTAGAGGTATGTGCCACTATTCCTCTTAATTCATTCTCTGTTTCTCTCATTTCACTAAGTGCTCTTTTCCAATCCACTGCTTCTGATACCTAGTCTTTAGGGGAGAAGTGGAAAAGAGATATAGTAGGAGGCATGTGGTCAATCACTAAGTGCTAATGTTACCAACCCACTGTTCTTTGTACCTGGCCCTTAGGGGACAAGTGAAAATGAGAGCTGTACATATCCAAAAGCTATGAAACAGTCATTTGAATTTTAACCATGTTTGACCAGATAAGGGTACCCTTATCTTGCAAACAAAATCTGAGTGCAGGTGCTTTTTGTTTGTTTTGTTTTTGTGGTAACTAGGATTTACTCAGGCCTTTCTGATTATTAGCCTGATGCTTACCATGTGAACCTTGCCCCCAGCCCTGTTTTATGAGATAGTTTCCCCACTCAGACACATACTTCAGCTATGATCTGCCTATTGCAGGCAAGGATTAGTGACAGTCACTGGTAGATGACTCCATATACTTTGAAGGAAGCATGGAGGTAGAATCTTTCAGACTTTTTGGCTGGGTCAGGCCTAGAACCTCAACCCCCTAAATTTCAGCCTCACACAGAGCTTAGGATAACACAGATGAGCCTGTTGAGAACTTTTCTGCTTAGGCTGGCCTTAATTCTCAGCTTTCCAAGTAGCTTAGGATTACAAGTATAATCTTAGTATTTGGCTCAGATGAATGTTTTGGAAGTTGTCTAAAAATTTCATCAGATTCTAAGATAGTCAATGACCACCTATCTACGCCCTCCCCCCCCACCAAAAAAAAGTTAGGAACTACCACCGTTATATTATAAATGTCAAATGGAAGTGAGCATTATAAAAGGATTTAAAGTAACTTTTGCTTCAGAACCTTTCATATTAGCATTAGGGTGCTGTAAACCTAATGAAAATAACCATGTTTCTGCTTTAAGCAATGTTCCAGGATTTTGAATAACACACATAGTTACTATTACAAGTCTTTCACCTGATGGTCAAACACAATTATGTAATGGTTAGATATTGTCATAATCATGCTTATAATGCTAAGTGACTCTGTCAAAAAAATGACCCTACAGATACAAATCTGGCTTAATTCTCACACCTCTTGCCTATTTTATTTTTTAATATACTTTAATCATGCAGTATCATTTTGGCTCATTAGAAAATTTCTAAGCCTAAGGGCTCTTTATTGTCTTCCATGCCATAGGAAAATTGACTAGACACTGGAATAATATAGTTTAACCCTTCTAATAGGTAAATACCATGATTCACTAAAAACTAAATACTATTATTAAATGTAGCATCATTCCATGTACCTCTCATAAAGGGAAAACCTATCTATTATGTGGGACTCACCAATGCTAAGATAAAAATTTGAAAATAAATAGGCATCCTATTTGTTTTTGCATCTCCAGTTTATAGATAATGAAACACAAGCTTAATAACGGTCAAGTCCCACAAACTAAAGTCCTACAACTAAATACCTTTTAAATCTTGTATTAGTTTGCGATATAATCCTTCTGCTTCTGTTACATTTAAATGTAGAAATGTATACCTTACATTCACAAATGATGCTGAAGCAAGTAGTTTGGAATATGCATCTTAGTTTTGTTCCAATTTATTAATATACCAAGTCGCATTACAGTACTTACCATCAGCATAGACTCCTTTGGGATTATCAGGACATGATCTGGACAGGTGGCCCATCTCCCCACAAACAAAACATTTTGCAAATGGAAACTCACCTGTAAAAATCAAGTGTCTTATGAATATGACAAGTTATATAATTCATACTATGTTTAAAGACACTAAATAGAATACATGTATTTTTCCTAATTTGAAACTTAAACTAATATAATTTCAAAATCTTACTGGCATGCTTATAAAAAGAAAAAATGTCCAGTTGGTTATATGTCATTTTCCCCACCAACCAAACAAGAAACAAAGAGAACACACCCAGAGCCGGGTCTACTTTAGCTCTGCACTTGGTTATTTCATGCTCTGTGGACCCACACCGATAACATATTCCAGTACCCATATCTTGATTTTCCAGGGCAGCGGGGCAATCTGCAACTCCATGGCCAGGTTTTCTACAATGGAAGCACACCTGAGAAAATAAAATGTGAGTTTACACATTGAAAACTATACAGTGATGTTACCAGTTCTTGTTATTAATAGTACCTTTAATAAAACTTTCACTTTAAAGTTCTTTGTGAAAAGAAAAAAGCTTTCTGTAGAGGATAGAACATAGTTTAAAATTATTAAATTAAAAATATCTGCATCTATAAAATTCATTTAATTCAATGAATTTGGAACAAATGTTTTAATTTAAACTGATTCAAATCACAAGATACATTTCAAAACAAAAAAAGTATATCCTTTTTGTTTTTGTACTCTTAATGCATAGCAACACTGAGTAAGAGGTTTTATTTTAGAATATATGCTCAATACATGTTAAAGAAATAACTAATACTTAAAGGAATTATTTTGCTCTAATATAAACCTGAACAATGACTAGAGGGCAGGAGGAGGGGGAAATGAGGTGGATATGATATGAATATAAGTACATTTTATTCATATATGAAAATAGCACAATGAAACCCACCAAAACCTGTTAAAAAGGGGAGTAGAGTGGTTAAGAAGAGTAATAAGATGGAGTGAATTTCTTCAAAGTACTTTTTATACATATTGTAAATATCACAATAAAGCCCCTTTGTGATATTAATTTATGCAAACAAATTTTTTTGTTTTAATTTTATTGTCGAAAGATGTACAGAGGGGCTACAGTTACATAAGTAATGAGTACATTTCTTGTCAAACTTGTTACCCCTTCCCTCATTTTTCTCCCACTTTCCCTCCCAACCCTCCCCCCAGTTGTACAGATTATTCCTAACATATTGTCTTCTGAGTATTCCTGTTGCATTGGCTCCCCTTTTGTCCTGTGTCTCACCATTTTGTTGTTCCCCTACTGAACAATATAGTCATACATAATACTTAGCAGTTTGTAAAATGTTTTTCTGCTGTTTTTTAGCAGAACTGAAATTTGAACTTGAGGCATTGTACTTGCTAGACAAGCACTCTACATGAATAACACCTTTTCTGTCAGATAAGCCTTGGACTTCACCTCTCCTAGATTTCTGCCTCCTGTATAGCTTGGATACAGACACGTACAAAGTACCAATATGTCAAGCAAGTTCCAGGTTTTGAAGTCAGACAGACTGAGTTTAAATTTTACCTCTGTAACCGACCAAGTGGCTTTCACTAAGTTACGGAACATTTCTGCACTAAAGTGTTTCCTTTCTGTAATACAGGAACAAAACTATCTTCTCTGTACTGTTAAGATAACTAAAGTACATCAAATATATGTGTGCTAAAAAAGTACAAACCCTTTTAAAGATGTTTTATTAATCTAGAATAGCATCTACTAAAATATGCATGTGTGTTTATGTGTAAATGGATGAGAATCCATCTTACAATATAAAAAACAAGGTAGAAGCGATGACTTACCATTGCATTTTTCTTTGCTGCTTGTCTTTTTAATCGTCTTCCTTCACGCCGATTGTCTTTCTTTAAGGCAATTGCAATTTCCTCTCTTACATCCTGGCTGTCTGTTGCTATTATCTCTCCATTGTGAACCATCTGGGAATTCTGTCTTAGGTATGCCATGAATCCATTCACATCTTCATGTAAGTACTCCTTTTTCCTTTTGTTCTTTTTATGCGTGGCCTGGTGTGTATCATTTTGAAGGGGCAGCCCACTGGCTTCACGTTGTTGATGTTTTGGAAGGCTTTGGCTCCTTCCTTGCAAGGATCCCTTCTTCATGTCTTCCCATGATGTTGCAGACAAGGGCCTCTTATTATGGGGGGTACTAACTCTTGCCCACCTGGTCATGATGTCATCAGAGGTTCCTCAACAATCTTTAAGATAACAGGGGTGGTTATCAATGAAAAAACAACTAACTGGGTGTATCAGTTATCAAATATGCCCATGTTAAGCTTTTTTTTTTTAACTTATGGGGCTGGGAAGGTGGCTCAGTGGTAGAGTGCTTGCCTTACATGCATGAGGCCCTGGGTTCGATTCCTCAGCACCACATAAGCAGAAAAAGCCAGAAGTGGTGCTGTGGCTCAAGTAGTAGAGCGCTAGCCTTGAACTGAAGAGCTGAGGGACAGTGCCCAGTCCCAGAGTTCAGGCTCATGATCCACAAAAAAAAAACAAAACAAAACAAAAACCCCAACTTGTATTTATTAAAACACATTTGATTTCATTCAGACATTTACATATATATTTAATTCTATGATATGCTACATAGATATGTCTCTAACATAAATCTGATATTTGCCAGAGAAGTTGCAATGCTAGTGAAGGTGAGGGTTATTGGGAGTATGTATACTTTCTTAAAATTGTTAATTTGCTAAGAAATCGAGTTATTTCCAAAGTCACAAAGTACACAGCAATGTAGTGAATGGAGTTGTTTCCCACCTCAAATCCAGTCTTCCAAGCTGTTTACTTTCCTACCTTAAAGTCCCAAGGCTATTTTCTCCCAATCATCCTGCCATTTTAACATAACGACCTAGAAAACTGTACAGAGATCCTCTGAGACCCTTAAAAATCAACTGATACATTCAGTATATCTTGTCCACTACCAGGGCTGTCTGCCCATATTAATGATTTTGTGTACACACACACACACACACACACACCCACCACCACCACCACCACCACCACCACCACCACCATATATCCAAACGACCCTGGGGGTGGGTGGTGGGTGGGAGGGGTTCTCCACTCTTGTGACCTGAAGTTCATCTTTATAAGTCTTCCTGGCAGACTTTTCAGTAAACTGGTATATAAAAGTTGTCAGCAGTCGGGTGATGCTGTCTTACTAACAGCGAAGGTGGCTGCCATTTGCAGCCAACCGGTTTTAAACGATTTGCAACTGCTTCATTTTAATTGTGTTTCAAAGCACAAGAGAACACTTGAGATCACAACGAACGGCAAGAGGATGTACCGTCACGTTCCCAGCCAGCCTTGGCGTGTACAGCGCGCACGTCCACGCGGTTTAAAGGCGGCCGCCGAGGCGCCGGAGCTGGTGGCTCCCACAGTGTTTGCGGTTACTTCCAAGCTACCTCCGCAGAGAACGAGGGCATTATTAGCCGCAGTATGCCAGAACCACCCTCTGTCTTTTCCAGGCGGCCCGGCCGGCGACGCCTCCGTCCCGGAAGCTCTCGCCGCGGTCGCTGGCTCCCTCCCTCCCCCCCCCCCCCCCCCCCCCGGCGGCCGACCCGGCAGGCTACGGCCGTCTCCGCCAGCTCTAGGAAACCCACCCCTCGAGGGTGCCGAGGGCCCCGGTAGACGACCTCCCTTACCGCGCGCGAATCCTCCAGAGCAGCCGAGTCGACGGAGCAGAGCAGCCCAGCCCTCCCTGCGACACGTCACTTCCGGCGGTCCCGCCCCAGGCAGGCGCCGCGTAGGCGCCCCCCGTCGGCTTTGGGTTTCCCTACAGGTTGGTGGGCTACGGTTGGGTTTCATGCGTTTGTGGAGTCACCCCGTACTTGAAGCCGTGGAGTCAAGGATGGATGGGAGCTCCGTCTGTGGTTTTGCCGCTTGCGGGTAGCGGCAGCTGGGAGGGTTGGTAGGAGACGGCCCGGAAGTGGGTTCTGAGAAGGCAGGATTAACCAGGTCGAGTGGAATTAGCTGCGTGGGGTTGTGTAGGACGCTCCGAGCAGAGGCCAGGGAACATGGCAGCGGGGATGGACCACTGATGACAATCTGGGGGTCACTGGGGCCTCAGTCTGGTGTATGTGGTAAAAGCGCCTCGTCTGGTTGACCATTCATTTGAAATACTACCACCAGGCTTGCAATCCCAGCTGTTAGATCCCAATGGCCAGATGACCTTATCTGAAGGCCCCAACTCTTTGTCCACTCTGTCGCGCCCCGTTTTCCCCTTTTTGAAGCGCCCATCAGCTACTCCTTGAGGCTAGCCTGGGCCTCCCGCCCCCCCCCATTTCAACCAACCAGATGTGTAGTCCCAGCCTGTGTGTAGGAGGATCACTGTTCCAGGCAAACATGTAACACCTGGTCCAAAAAACTGAAGCAAAAATGAGAGGGGGGAGGCTGGGCGTGGCTTAAGTGCCTGCCTAGCAAGCCAGCAAATCTGTGTTCAAACTTAAGTACTGCCCAAAACAAAGTTTCACCTTGTGGCTAAAATGAACATTTTTAAAGGAAATCCCTACTCCTCAGCTCTCCATTGTTCTTTCCCAATACCATAACTGTGACTAGTGAGAAAATGGCACACTGTGATAGCCCCCTAGTTCCCTAATATCGTGCTTGTACATAATTTGTTGCTTTTTTTTTTTTTTAATCTGGTATCAGGGCTTTAAACAAGGCCTCTTGCTTGGGTTTCTCCCTCTATGGATTGACACTCTACCACTTGAGCCACACCTCCAGAATTTTTGCTAGTAAATTGGAGATAGAGTCTCTCAGACTATTCTTCCCTTAGTTGGCTTCAAGCTGAATCTTCCCCATCTCAGCCTTCTGAGTATCTAGTATCACAGGCATGAGCCATCAGTGTCTCTCCTTTCTCCTCACCATGCTCCCTCTTCTTTCTTTTAAAATCTCTCCTGCCATTATCTTAAGCTTCCACGGAACTGAACTCTGGGCAGATGTTCTTTCCTTACCTAAATTTCTCTTCCAACTGAACATTTGAAAATGTAAATTAGAGTGCCAAATCAGATTGTTGCCATCCATCTTTAAACTCTTCCATTGTTTGTCATTGTTCTTGGCATGATCTCAAATTCTCTAGCTTGGTATTAAGTCCCTGCCTACTTTACTAGTCTTATCTGCACAGGTTCCCTCTCTTTTTAAAGACCTTTTGATTTCTACCACCTGAACTTTGCTAGCCTCAGGACCTTTCTATGTGCTACTCTTTTTTAATTGACTTTTTAATCTTCCAAGGCTAGTATTATTTTATTCTCATGAAAACTCTCAAATTTCCTTCCTCTCATAGTTGACCAATCGCCTGATGTACACTTACAGAAGTTTATTCTTCCTGATAGCTCTTTTCAAATTTGTAATTACATAATGAACTGAGAAATAAGTTACTTATTGTATCATAATTGCCTGGTACAGAGTCTTTGCTTAGTGCCATAGTGTGGTTTTAGCTAAGGGAGACTACTCTGGGTTTACTTATAGCAAACTAGAAAGTATCCGATTTTCTTTTATAAGAAAGATTAGTCAGTGCCATCAAATGTTGTGATTTAGTATGGCGAATGTCACAAATATCCTAGAAAAATTTAAAGACAGAAACAGTACTGCAGATTTTGAAAACAATGAGCTTCTTCAAAGTAATGTGAGAATGCTTCTCATACCATAATGATCTCATTCAGTGGGTTTAAGTTCTAAGCACCAACATTTCAACATAGTGTGGGGTTTATGGGTTCCTCTGTGCTTGAGCACCACATATGCCACTAGAGGGCGCATTCAAGCAAAACTTGTCCTTTTATTTGCAGAATTTTAGATTGTGGGAACACTTCAATTTGTTTTAGTGGTGGTACACCAAATAAAGATGAGCAGATGAGTAAGTAGGTCATAAGATTCGGGAGAAAGGCTACTATTATTAAATATTTTGTGGGTCCCTGATGCTATGTTTAATGCTTTACATTAGTTCCCTGATTAGTTCATAGGATATTATGAGGTAGATGGTATTATGCTCTCAATTTTATAATGCAGAAACAAGCTCAGGGAGCTGAGGAATTTATCCAGGTTCATTCAGCTCGTCAGAAATAGAGCCATCATTCCAAAGATTTTATGTTATAAAACTTTGAAATGCTGCAGGGGTTGCTTGTCCACTTGAACTCATTTTCAAATATACTTTAATAACCTATCCTTGCCAGTGAAAGAGATGCTGTACCTTTACAGTTCAAAAGACTGTCTTTTTTATTAATTTTCCGTTTAAATATTGAAATACTATGTGTTATTTTCATAACAAAATATAAATGAGGCAAATGTTAAGTGAAAATCCAAAGGACTGATTATGAAGGGTTATGATTCCATTTTAAATAAATAAAGCATACTATGTACACCAAAAAGGATAGAAAGCATTTGAAGTAATTACAAAACACATGCTCACGTATTACAGAGTTTAGAAAATCTCACCATTGCCAGATATTTTTAATTATGTCACTATAGGCTTTTGCATGGGCAATACATGATTATGTTTCAAACAAATAAAATGTTTAGATGATGTAAACCTTCTACAATCATCTTTATAATGACAGTAAAAGTTCTAGACAGAATATAAAAAGCAACTGCCTGCAGATTCAGAAAAATAAATAAAGATAGCCAGTTGTGGAGGGAAGTCAGAATTTGTAGAAACAAGTAATTTGCGACTAACCTTAAGCATGTCTGGGTGTTGGCCTGATAGTAGGCCACAGTCATAAGGGGGTAAATAGCTGAAATTGGAATTAAAAGTCCTATCCCCTTCACATACACACATAATCTTTCCAGTCAGGGAAACTAGAAAAATAAGAATCCAGCAGCCATACTTGGAGAGAAGGTTATGTTGAGGAAAGAGATCCACAAAGAGAAATCCTATCCTTTTGTGTATGAATGTCATTCAGGCCTCAGGCAGGGCCAGAAGCGCACATACACAGGAAATATTCAGAGGCGTAAGGCAAAGAACTAAGACTGGAATAAAAAAAACTAACAAGCTCAAAGCCTTTATTTAGCACAAAGCTAGGCAAGTGAATTACCTGCATTTACTTATTTTTTCTTGAGGAATACACAGAATTCAACACAAAATACACACCCACAATGTCTAGGATAAACACCCAGCTGCCTTAATATGCAAGGAAAATATAAAACATTTTCAGAAAATAGTAACAGATGATAGCGCTAAGGTGACTTGTAGGGGGAATTACCTGACAAAGACTAAAGAATCTATTTTGTAACACTAGCTACTCAGGAGTGGAGATCTGAGGATTGCAGTTCAAAACTGGCCTAGGAAGGAAAGGAAAGTCCTTGAGATTCTTATTTCCAATTAACCAGCAAAAAGTTGGAAGTGGAGGTGTGGCTCTGGTAGTAGTATGCCAGCCTTGAGTGAATAAGTTCAGAGATAGGACCCAAGCTGAGTTCAAGCCCCAGCACACTCACTCACACACATGTGCATACACACACACACACACATACAGAATCTATTAAAACTATGCTCAAGGAAGTAATGAGTAATATAACTTAAAGTATTCAAAAATGCTTAAAATGGAGGAAAAATGAGAACTTTTAATATAAAGTTAGAAAATGCAAGAAAGAATGAGCTCTAAATTTTAAATGTGGTACTTGAAAAAAAGAATTTACTGTATATGCTTAATAAAATGAAAAAAAAGAATCAGTGAATATGAAGAAAGTTTGAGAAAAATTATCCTGTATGAAGAACTGAAAAAAATATACTGGGAAAGCTGCAGAAGTTTAAAGATCATGCCAAAGGCCTAGTATACCTGCCACAGGAGACACAAGAGAAGAAGAGAGAATATGGAGCAGAAACATGTGCATATTTGGGTTGTTACCAATTATTTACAGACAAATCTGCAATAACAAATTTACTTATGTCATTTTGCCTATGTAAGAATGTATTTATAATATATAAATTCCCAGAACATATCTAAAGATATGTTCAGAAGGGGTGATGTTATCAAAAAAGAAATGTACGCTCTGTCCAACCAAACAGCCAGTTGGAGACAGGAACCAACCACAGTTGCATTGGAGGTTGACGCATCTTTTTAGACAGGCATTCTTAAGTGCCACTGACAACACTGTTCTGACAGTATTTCACGGATAGCAACGGTTTATCAACAGATGTTTCTCAACATGGGATTTCTGCTGACTATATCAGAGGAAGTCAAGTTATTCAGCCTCATGATGATACTGAGGACAGTACACATGATCATGAAGATATGAATGGTTCAAAAGAAAGTTTCAAAAGTTATATATGACCATATAACCCAATGCTAAGCAAAATGAATCCCAAGATAGAGACACAAGAGGTTTTATCTTTGTTGCTGTTCTTTTTAATGCACTTATAATGTACTATGTGATTTTTTTTGTTTCTTTGTATTTTCTTCCCCCATGGTACAACTCCTGCTGTCATTATATTTGATTCCAGTGTCCTGCATCTTGTATATACATTTTCTAATTTGGGGAGGGGAAGGGAAATAACAAAATGCTGAAATAAGGATACAGGACCCATTGTAACAATGAGTTCTACAAGACACTATGTTGAAAATGAATTTTACCACTTTGGAGGTGGGGTGGGAGAGGGGAGGGAGGAGTTGAGGAGGAAAGGGATGGTAGGGGAAAAATAAAGGAGGGTCTAACCATGCTTCATAGGAAATGGACTCATTACCTTGCTCGTGTAACTGTAACCCCTCTGT